TACACTGAAAAAAATGACTTCCTTGTGGTAACAAATTTAGAATTGCTACATGCATATTGTTGCAGCAGCAAAAAGAAATGGTTTTTAGAACTAAATAATTTACTGCTTTAGTTTTCCCAAGTAGTTGCGATTTCCTGGGGTTAATAATCAAACTTTGTTGGAGGATAGCAAACATTTTTTGTTAAGAGCGCCAACGAGCATTTTGCATTGATTCCATGAACATAAAAGTATGCCTTCATAACAAAAAGCAGTTTGCTGATTAACCTAATACCACTGTATTTGTGACAACATACTAAATTCCTTAACTTGAAGGACGAAAATAATATAAAATTTTATTTATAATACTGCAATCATGCAATTCCCAAGTAGTTGACAGGATGTGCTTATCTCACCTTGCCTTGCATGTCCCAGAGTGCCAGCCAGATGTGAGAGGACATCATTACAAAGTACTCTGTGACCCTGTCCAGTGTCATAATTACTAGCTCATTTTTTCATGGTAAGTCGCCAATCTTGTACCTACTGAATTTCGGTTATTTACATTACGAACTTTTAGAATTTTAATGTTTTTTCAATGGCTGAACAAAGTGTAGGTGATATATTGGAACAATGGGGATTCCCGGAACTACTTTTGGTGTTTGAAGGTAAGTGTAACTTTAATCCATAAATTGTTTTGAATTATCTTTTGTTTTCCGGCATTTTCATTTTTAGATTTTTCGAACAACGACAACTCGAAAAGTGCCGGTCTGATCAGAAACTGGTCGAGGAACTTTTTATTCGGTTTTCTTTGTATAACACCATCCCATAGTCCGTGTGCGCGAATTTCGAAACACGCTGTATATGTAAATTTGTAAAAGCTGTTTACATGTAGTGTAGGTAAGTTTTAATCTCGGTTTTAATTTAAGTGTTTTATATTTTGTCTTTGGAGATGTTAATGATAAAAAAGTTTTTCTTTTGTAGTTAGGTAAACAGTAAGTGATTTAATAAATGTGTATTTAAAAAAAAAAGTGATTTGTTTTAATTGACATCACCAAAACGCGTGGACGATGCAGACAGAGCGGAAAATTTATTGTTCCAACCAGGATTCATAGTTAATCCAACTAATCATTTGAGACAATTTATGAGTTTCCAGCATAAATGGTATGCTACTACAACAAAGATAAAAAAAGACAAATTAGGAGGTCCAGCAAATACTCGTTAGTTTATATAACAATACCGCTCTGCTGCTGCGACTAAGTATTATTTGTTACAGGGACAAATTTTTTTGCAAGCTTATTTAGTTCCTCAAACAAAAATGGTATGCTTTCTTAACTAACTTGTATAATTTGTCACAAGTAATTGTTTTAGCTACTGGAACAAATTTACTTCCAACAAGTTGTTGATTTCCTACAGCAAATAATTTTGTTGAGGCTATAGCTACTAAAAAAATTAGTTGGAGTAACTAATTGTTAGTTGCGACAACATTTCTTTTTTTTCAGTGTATATATACCACGGTAGAGAAGTCTATTATTGCCTTCGCACCTTACACCCCTCGGCGCAAGCGCCTCGAGATGTAATCTTGGTGCTCAGGCAATAATAGTGGATTTCTCTACCTTGATATATAATGTACTATTACATTATTTGTATGTCAAATCAGTTTACGTTACTCGTTTCGAAATTCCTGCCTCAGCTACGCTTCGGCAGTAAACATCTCACTGGTTAACGTATACCTTGATTTAACATACTCATATGTAAATAACTATTTCCTCAGTGAATCGCATTTTACAAAAAAATTAAAGCCAGTTGTCATAAACTGATTAATTTCGACGTTTGAATCTGCTCGTTGTCTTACTATATAGTGAATGGCTTAAAATGATTTTGGTAAGTGGATTTATTGCCGAATTTTTGATAAAATAGTGAGAAATACACCTGAAAATGTACTAATTCGTATATCATTAGACGAGGAAACAAATCTTCTTTCGATTGGTGTCATTATAAACCCTCTAAGTTAACATGGGGAGCGCAACTATCAACAAAATACCCTTTTACCATGTTAATTCCCTATGTTCGGTTTAGATTTTTAGATGGAAATATTCGCCCGGTATATGATTGTGAATAATAGCTTAGTGTAACACTATGATAATAGTACCTACCTCCACCCATATCTCTTGTCACGGGGACCTTGTAACAGTTGTTTACGGGCGATGCCTTTCCTGTTACGGAGTATTTACTATAGTTCAATGGCATATGTACGATACTCCTTCCAACCTTACTTTCACAAAAGAGTTGATATTCTGAGCTAATTCGGTAAAATAATAAGTATTTAATTTGCGTGCGGCAACTGACAAATTATTTTGAACTTTGACAGATCACAGATCATGTCCTCCTAGATGACGAATTTACTAATTAATTAGCCAATGAGAACCCTTGCTTTGCGTGAACAAATAACTATACCTTGACTTGTATAGCTGAATCTACCCTATCTCATACATTACAAAAAAAGACATTAAAAATACCGGTGAGATAGTCTGGCTACATTTACCGACCGACTACCGGACTACATGAGGGTATAGCAGAAAATTGTGATTCAATTTTCATAACAAAAAGGCTACAAAAAAAATCTGTTATCCCTACTTACATAATTAGTACAAATGGACTAATCCACGCTGTTGCAAATTCTTATTACACGAAGCAAGTGCCACGTCTGTAGCTGTGTACAACGTAAAATAAAGTACTTACTCTTTGTACGTTCATTTTTCCATTTTAATAAGCAATTCTCATGTGACTTGAGATAATACAAGGTCGCGCAATATGTGATTAGTTTCTCTATTGATTGTTCAAATTGTTGTATATAAAATTATAAACATTGATATAGCCATTGAATTCAGATTCTTTATTTAATGATATAGCACAACAAGGACGATTTATAAAGTGTTCCTTATTCGCGCGTCGCGTCGCCATGACAATTTAGTACCACAGGGCACAGACATAACATATACGTATTATTTATTATTATTATTATTATTTTTATATAACCTTAAACGTGTGTGCTTTCGATAACTGTGACCGTTGAGCGCCACGATTAAGTTTTGTCAGAGCAGATAATTATTATTTTGCAGCAGTGTCATCCATTATTTCCCAATCATTTCTTTAGATTTCTTTCGTTATATTAGGTAATGTCTTTTAGGAACTGTATTATAACTTTCCAAAGTTATTTTCTTTTAGCATCATAGCAAGTTCTCCCTCAATTTTGTGTTTTACTCTATACTCATTTAATTTCTCACATTCTTCTACTACATGCTTTACGGTAAGTACTTTTTCTTTACATTGTGGACATTTGGGAGCATCTCTTCCTAAGAGCAGATACGAATGTGTCACCCTTGTGTGACCTATTGCTAACCTTGCCCATATCACTTCATTCTTTCTGGCGAGAGGAGCTACTGGTAGGGTATTCACTTTTTTTATACATTGTCGCAATTGGGTTGTATTTTGGTCCCAGTTATCTTGCCATTTACGAATTATAACTCTACGAATGTACTTCCTCAGATCTTCGTGGGTGTAGATTGTCATTTGTTGCACATCGTTTTTATTTATTTCGTCTATTTGGGGAGTGACTAGTTAACGTGAAGGCACATATAAGAATTTGATTGTAATACCACTTTCTGAGTGTAGTTATTTTTTGTAGTATGGTTTTTATAAGTTCGTTAATTGAGAATGTGTCCTTTAACATTGTTTTTATTACGTTTGATGTAAAACATATCATTTTCTTTGTGGTTAGTTGATCCATGTCAATTCCTTTAACGATACCTATAAGACCAGCTGTCAGGATTGAGGTTCCTTGAGGGAGCTGCCATGTACGCGTACGTTCTTTCGCCTGAATGTGGCAGTAACATTCGTCGTCAGTAATGTGTCCTTTTGTTATTATCACTGAACCAAAAAAAGGCATAAATACAATAAAAAAGTTTGTTGAATTGATGTAAAATTGCATTAAAATTGGTCCAACGAACGATTTCTTTCCGTTAACGAAAAACTTTTCATTGTTTGATAAATGCATTCATTAAACAATTAAGAGTTTATTGGACCAACAAACATAGATCATTATAATGAAGAACTTCATTTTATATATTCAACCGATCATATCATTGACGTAACGATCATCATACATTGTTTAACCACTAAGGTTATTGTTTCTATGTATACCTTACATAGACTTAACGAATATTAGTAATTGATGAAATGAATACTATTCGCTAATATAACAATTACTGTCGTTTATTCAATAAGTTTAATTCGTTGATGTAATAAATGTTTTACGTACACTCAACAAACATTAGTAATTGGTGTAATGAATCTTATTAGTTAATAGGTATAAGAAAAAAAATTTTTGTGCCCTTTATTTTTAAACTAAAATATTTTTTTATAATTTTATAATTTTTATATACATTATGTAGGTATATAAACAACTAAAATAATTCCTAAAAACATAGATATAACTCCAGTCATTCGTGTGACTCCAACGAGGACTTCAAGTATTCATTTAAAATAAATACTTTGGAAAAGGTTTGTTTAGATTTCATTTTAAAAAAAAAAGATTCCAAAAAACAGTAAAACATCGAAGATGCTAACGGGAATTCCAGATCAAATAAATAAAATATTTTAAAACATATATCCACCGCCCGTAACACACTAAAAAATGTATATCGTATGTTATCAAAATAAATGAAAATGTCCGTGATTGAAAGTATATCATCCCCTATACAATATACAAACGGCTGAATGCTGACCATTCTCTGCCCTAAATGATTCAAGTGGTCCTCCACCTCTTGGAAGGACTTCCCTAAGAACAGGAAAGATTCCTGGGAATCTTTGATTGTAAATTTTATTGTTTGGTTCTTTCCAGTCTCGTCTTTCTTGACCGATTTATTTGTGGGCACAAAGTACCCATGCAGAGCCCACAAAAGTGATGCTGTTCTTGAATCTGCAAAATTAATACTTAACGCGAAATCATTCTTCCTAGTTACACTCACTTTCAGACAAGCTGCCGTTTTTTCTTATTTCTTCCAAAATTAGTTTTAAGTTTTTGTCTTTTAAATTACTATCCGTGTAAAAATGTCAAGATTTTATCGTAACATTTCTCCCAGTTGTCTAGTAGACCCTCTCCATTAGAGAAGGCTACCGTGAAGTCCATGTCGATCTATAAATAAAAACGAGTAAGTACCTAGATTGCAGTATGTGCTTTAATCAAAACATACCAGTCGAAAGCCCGAAGGACTTTTATACAACGACCATTTATCGATTATTGCACCAGTATCCCCAAAAGTTTTTATGTCATGCAGCCGATACTGGCTGCAAGCTTTCCAAGTGCTATCAATTTGCTCACTTGATAAATTGTCGTACTTCAAGGCTCTAAGGCAGGCTTCGCCGTCAGTTTCTGGCTCTAAAATGGTGACCATATAGGTATGTAGTACATGTGTTAATTAAGTTTTTCTTCAAACGTCAGTAAAACATGACATTTCTCAGCCCATTTCATGCCATTAAAGTTTGACATTTTAGACGTTGACAGCGTCAGACAAATTTCTGAAATCGCTCGAGAACGCCTACTTTCTTGGAGCAAATTCAGACCTCAAAATACGTCAGCAGCAACGAACTTTCCTGGACCAAAAGTAGTCCGGGAAAATTTTTGCCGGCCTACGCCATCAAAATATGTCAAACACAGTTGTCAAGGAAACGATTTCATAGGCAATAAGATGGTAACCAAAAATTGTTATGCATTTACAAGAGTTCCTTAGTTTATGATAATGTTGATTGCGATTTCAGAAACAGTAGTTTGTGTACCACGTAGTATAAAAGCACAATCCCGGACTCCAATGCTTGTTAGTCTCGGCTAACAATTTACTTGGCATCCAGGAATGTATTGCTTATACTACTAGATACACAATATACTATTTTTTCGCGATTTTTACTATGCGTTTCCATGGCGATTAGTCTTATCTATCAATTTTTGAGAATTTAGTTCGTTTACAACACGTCTTAATAGAGTCTTTTTTTCCTTATGTGCTTGATTAACTAGGGCTTCGTCCTCGTTAGTGCAAATTCATGAAAAAAAGTATTACGTTTAAAACTAGTTGTACAAATAACTATTTTAATTGATATTCAATTATATTACCAAAGTTTTTTTCTAATCTGTACTTCTTTTCAGGCTGGTTTTTGGATTTGGTGTTTGATACATATTTTCCAATTGCAGTTCCCACAGACTTCTTCAAATTACAGAATTTATTATATATTAGTCCTCGTTTATTCGAACGATAGTATTCCTAAAATAAAACATATGAGGGTGAAAAAATATAAAACTTTAAATTTCATCTACCTACCAGTCTCTCAGTTGGAAATCTTTCCAAAATTTCTCGTTCCAATCTGTAACTTCCTGCAAGGGTCATCGCTATGCCTTTATCTTCATGAAATTGTGCGACTAAAGTTATTAATATTGTACGCTGTTCTTCTTGTAGTTTCGAAAACTTATTATAAAAGTCAGTAAGCATAACACCTTTAGTTGTTTCATTTAATATAGTCGATAAAGGTTGACTGTCCGGTTGTTCTTTGCAGTAGGGTGTTACACGCGAGTCGTGAGCGGGTGATGACGCCCTGGAGGAACTACACGATGAAGTTGGGGATAATGGTGAAGTTAGTGTTGAAGTATTTCCACTATAAAGTAATGGTGCTCCCATGGACTGTCTCCACTGTTCTAAATTGTGTTCGAAAACAATTTGTATTCCAATTTCGAAATCTTTCAAAAGGCGTTCAAGGTGATGAGATTTAATAACCTTCAACACATCGACAAATACTTTTTGTTCTAAAACAAATAAAACATTTATGAGTTTTATTAAAAGATGGATTCAAAAGGACTTACGAACAAAATGCTCCAAAAGAAATTCTTGTTTCCATTCCTTCAACAATTTTGTTAAATCCTGTATGGGTTGATCTTCGCAACCAGATATGTCCAGTATCGTTTCACCATCAGGAGACCCCAAATTGTAATTACTCTCTCTACCTTCATTGTTTACACTTACAGGCAAGTTTTGAATGGAATTAAAAATATTTCCGTAATCCACAGCCACATAGTCATTTGTATACGGCGAATAAGGGTCGCGATTACAAGAGTTGGATTGATCCATTGATAGAAACCGTTTGTAAATCGTTCAACTGTATCTGTAGGTATAGTCTAAGTAGGTACGTGTACAATGTTACTGCGGAAGTAAGTATACGATGTTTTGTAAAAGATGCATAAAATGGTGGTTATATCTAAATTTTTCAAAAATGTTTTCTCAATATTTACAGTGTGAAATTAAGAATAATATGCTGTTATGCTTTATTTTAAGAATTTATGAATTACGGAGCTAGTTTGTAATATTCTTTCAAACGAATCATAGCTTTACCTTTTGCTGTCTTTATCAGAGTCATAGGAGGACCAACAATGTCTTCTATAGAAATTATGGAGAATGGTCCTAATGCATTTGGATTAACTTCATATGCAATCAAGTTTGGTACGTAGCTTACAGATTGTAGGTTTTGAACAAAAAAGTATACGCCTTGATTTTTTAATACTATAATTTCCAATATTATGTTAAATATTATATCATCTACAAATAAAGCAATGTAATTGTTGCGTTTATAATCAACTCCCTCATAATTCAATTTGTGATATAATTCGACATCACCTTCTTCAACATTAATTTTTTCACGTATAATGTTTTTGTAGTTACTTTCTACTTTATGTTTATCTTCTACCGTGTATTTAGTTATTACATCTGTACGTACCATTATTTGATATGCAAATTTTAATTCGTACTTTTTGGCTAAACTCATACAAATATTTTTTCTGGAAGTTATACAGTGCGAGTATATTTTAAATTGTCTGTGTTTCGATTCATACTTAAAGCACCAAAGCTTCCTCAGGGGTCCTACTTGACGAAGTATTTTTGGATAGTGTGATAAATTATGAAATTTTGGTTTCAAAGTATCGTTAAATAGCAATATATAGTCATCATTGTGTTTTTTTATTTTATATTCTAGTAAATTAATGCTCATTTCAGATATTTCGGAAGACAGCAATATATCGATAATTTCTATTAAATTTAAAGTAAAATTCCAAACTGGATCATCTGAAGGAATGAGATCGCCTACCATAAGAGGAAAATATTGTACAAACGTCATAGTTTGTCTTGCTGACATTTTCAGTTTCTTTTTCAAAATGTGATGCTGTTCAATTTTTCCGGATTTATTGTCTATTTCTATTGGCCCGTACTCAAAATTTTGTTTTCTGGAGTTAAGCGTTGCAAGGTCAAAATATTTCATCGTAGTAATGAAGTGAGCAATAACTTGACATAAGCTGTAATGGCACACACCTTCAAAGAGATCATGCATGATATCAACATAGTAATTTTCTACGACATGAAATGATGGTATTTTGTTTAAAACGGATCTCTTCACAATTCCACTTTCTTCCAGATTTAAAAGATCGGTTTCGTAATTATCTCTCGTCCTATCTACATCACTTGGTTGAGTACTTAATTTTTGTGTATCTGTTTTCGGAGCTTTACAAAACCTACAAAAATATTTGCTCGAAAATGATTTGCTAAATCCAAGAAATGAGTTCATACTACTATTTCATATCCTTCACTAATGTAATATTGCCAGTGTCTATTAATTGGTGTGGTTGTGTCTCCTTCTGCTATTTCCTCTATTTGTGGAGAGTTAATTTCCCAGTCGTAATTATCATTTGGCGCAATATGGGTGTCGATTATTAGGCTCTCAGACTCCAGTTGTTTATGAATTTTAATGAGCGCAGGGATAGTTCTTGTTTGGCTCCATTCATACTTATCAAGAATTTCTGGTGCTGATATGCTCTGTCGGAGATAGTGATGTCTTTTACTAAGAATTTTGGCGCCATACTTCAAATTTGTCTCCAAAAATCGTAGTTGAAGTGGTGGGCATTTTGCAAAAACACATACCGGGCGGTGCCTAGTGCGACGCAGCATAGAGGGATTTCAATGGTAATTTCTTTATAGTCAATTACTAGCTCCCCTAATTATTTTAGACCAAAAGTCTAAATAAGTTTTTTTTAGACAAAAAATACTGAATCTGTTCATGCTATTACTCATAATTTTCCGTTTTTGAAAACCGTAGAAATCGACAAAATAAAAAGGTTCATTTTACAATAAATCAAATATGCCTTGGAATTACCTAAAAAAAACAGCGATCACGTTTCATTATTTGCCTTTGACGTATATTAAATTTATACTTGTTTATAAATTAGTTAAAGAACTGCAAGTGCAATAACGTTCAAAATGTCCGTCAAAACCATCAGGAAAACGACAATACATTCAACGTTTTGGCTGCAGTAGCGGAAAATCCGAATATAAGTTTAGGAACAAATCTTTTTCAAATCAGTTTTTTTCTTCGATTATGTAGGTACCCTGATTCCGGAAAATGATAAACATCTGATATCTGATGCAGATGCAGCATACATTCTCTAAAAAAACATTACTCAATTGCTGCTTTTTCTTGCATCGGATAGTTGTAACAGAATTAAATATGAAAATCGTTCGACGCCAAACAACGATAACTTAGATGCGATGCGCTTGCAGTTTGTTATAAAGATTCCAAAGATTTATAAAAATGTAATTTTTTATTTTGTCGATTTCTACGGTTTTGAAAAATGGAAAATTATAACTAAAAGTATGAACAGATGCAGTATTTTTTTCTCTAAAAAAACTTATTTAGACTTTTGCTCTAAAATAATTAGGGGAGCTAATAATTGACTATAAATTACCATTGAAATCCCTATGCTGCGTTGCGCTAGGCACCACCCTGTATATACTGTTGAAATTGGGACAAAGTGCTAAACGCTGGTTTGCTTATTTGCCTAGTTATTTTAATTTTTTATAACTGATAATGTAAACAAAATAATTAATATAACGTCATCTAGGCTTGTACGTTGGCAACGTCGGCGTCGTATGGTCGATCTCATTGAACTTAAAGGACATTTGACTATAGTCAATGGTAAGGACTGACCAGCAGAGCCGTCCTTAGGGTGGAGCGGCCGCTCCAGGCCTCGCGCTTACTCTCGCTAAAAAATAAGTAAATGTTGTGGTTGAATGAAAATAATATAATAATGTACAGATATACGTACGTACCTAAAATATCTGTCTGATTACCCGCCCAATATGTTCAATTATTGATTAACTAAAAAACCTACGAACAAGATCTCATTCGGTAACATTCACAATACAAAAAATTAATCGTCGAAATTAATAATGTACTTAACGCAGAAGTTTGCAAACTGCAAACTTTGCCGCTTAATTTTACGGAAATGAACAGAGGTACGCATGCGTGTTTTTATATGACAGCCAGCATAACCATGTTTTGTTTGTTTTGATTTTGTTTACATATACAATGAATGTGGCGAACAGAAAAAATTATCTTGCCACTTTAGGATTAGGCTAGTTATAGTTAAGTTAAAAGACGAAAGAAGATTAACACAAACACTGAATCTTGTGCTTGCGCTACAAGGTTATGTTGAAAGTTGTTGTTTAAACAATTAACCAAGGTACGCCGGTACATAGGTGGCGACACTGCGTACACATTAATTTCGCCTATTAATTTCAGGCATTGCGAATGTTCGTTTTGCGTAAAGTTAACGAAATAATTTCACTCATTAATTATAAACATTAATTGAAGGTTGTGAGTGCAGCAGCGCAGAGACTTGCTATAACTATAACTAGACTGCGCTTAACGTATCTAAGGTGTTGTCGACACAGTATGCAACACACAATGCACCGCGGGGCAAAAATCGCAGAGATGATGTGCAATATAATGAAATAAGCTGTTATTTTAGATGTTCCGTTCTTTAATTATTCTCGTGATTAGCTCGAATTAGTGAACAGATAAATTTCTGTTGAGAATAAACCAATAAACTTAGGTTAACTCGTGCGTATCAACATGTACTCTGTAGATAGAATTTTAAATAATATGCAGATTTCCAACGGATAAAAGTTTAAAGGGCCAATGGATCAGAGCCATTCGAAGAGAAAAATTTACTCCCACCATAGTGCATTTGCGGGGAATGAAGCCTATTTTAGACAGGTACCTACGAAGGTGTTAAACAATAACGCAATACCGAGCGTTTTCGACTTTCCCATTCACTTAAAATAACGTAGAACTATTATTCGACATCCTTTACCAGATAACGGCAGTACCTATTTGCCTATTAGGTATAGACGTAACTAAGTACTTACTGGTACTAAGTATATTTCAGGTTTTGTTACAAGAAAAATAGCTAAAAGTCTGTTAAATGTTCCATATGTGCAGATGCGATATTCGCATCAGAGAGTCATTCAAAGCTTTTAACTAGAAAAAAATCGTGGAGGATTGTTGCACGTATCAAGCGATGAATTAAAAATTTGCCAAATTGCTGAAAATGTGTTCAGGTTTTTCATTCAATCCACACCACACCGCGTTGTAAACAAAATGGTTATCAGCAGTCTAAGAAAAATAAATAACAGTTACAGCCCATTTGGGTTTTTGGATAGGCATATATTGAATCAAAATCCGCTAAATAATCATATCTTACTACTTACATCTTTAGTTTTAAGAGTATATTTTCCCATGCGTGTTCACCACCAAAATACACATATAAATCGAATTAGGACCAGAGTAAGGCAGTTATATACCAATTTAGTACAAATAAAATACCAATAAATTCGATTAAAACAGTTAACAGTTATATGTTATCTTTTTTTGCTACTAAAATTTAGAATAAACATATGCTAAAGCAAGCTGCAGAACGTACGTCTGCCCCGCGATGAACAGTTGGTTGCCTATCCTATCTTGACAACAGGCGTTTATAGTAAAATCTACGTTACGCGCGGTCTAGTTATAACAAGTCTCTGGTGCAGCGTGCTGTTGGTACGCGCATGTGGTTTATGGAATCACAGCCAACAGGACAAGACACTTTAATTTGCATCAATTATAGCGTAAGCATAACCACAGACAAACATTACTTGTATGATAAAAGTTTGCAAAATATAAATATGGAAATATTTCCTAAATATCAACATCTTCAAATAGAAGAAATTTGCCGGATTTGTTTGACAAAAAAAGATCCAATGCAATTACTTTCCGATGGTGGTTTATTAGATATGCTGATTGAGTGTGTATCAATACAGGTAAACCTAAATTATCAGGACCAAAATAAGCTATTCACCTAATTTTAAGTTGGTGGAAGAAGATGGTGTTTATTTAATTTGTAATGATTGTAAAAGCGAGATCAGTCATTGGTACGTTTTTAAGCAACAAGTTGTTAAAGCTTTTGCAATTTGTCGCCTTCTAATTAAAGAGAAGCAACAGAGAGTTGGTGATGGGGAACGAAAATTGGAGGATAACGAAAGTGTAACTGAAAAACATTGGAGTTGCTTTGTGAATAATAGTTGTCTTGAATTTGGTGGCGCTGCTTCTAGTGAGTTGTCGCCTTTAGTCAATGTGACTAATGCAGATTCAATGATTTTGAAAGACGACTTTAAATGTTCCCAGTGCTCGAAACAGTGTGCCAATCATAACGCATTACAAAGACATTTAAAAAGACATGCATATGGCAAAGTTTACGAATGTTCAAAGTGTACCAAAGTATTCAAACAATCCCAAACGCTCGCCGATCATATGAGGCGACATTATGACAATAGAAATTTTGCATGTGAAGTATGCGGGAAAAAGTTCTATAAACAGTTCAATGTGACTGAACATATGCGTATTCACACTGGGGAAAGGCCATTTAAATGTGAATCATGCGAACGGACCTTTACAAGAGCCTTATTACTACGAAATCATGTAAAAAAGGTTGCCTTTTTAATTATTTTTACTATACATAGTATAAGCAGTTTGTTATAGGCGCACACCGGTGATAAAAAGTTTATATGTGAGGTGTGTTCAAAAAGTTTCGTAGATGGATACCAATTGAAAATTCACTTACGAATCCACACAGGTGAAAAACCTTTCCGCTGTCAGTATTGTGATAAATCATTTGCAATGCAGGGTCAGCTTAAGTCCCATACAAAGTATAGACATACACATGAAAAGAATTATATTTGTAATGTTTGTGCCCGAGCGTTTACAGCAAAGCATACCTTAGAGGAACACTTGCGTACTCACACCGGAGTCAAGAAGGAACCCAAGCACACTTGCAACATCTGTAATAAAAAGTGTATAACAACTACACAATTGCGGATACACATTAAATCAGTGCACACAGGCGAAAGGCCGTTTACTTGCGCAATTTGCGCGAAACGTTTCGTTACAAGAACTGCTGTCGAATCTCACATGAAAACGCACACAGGTGTTAAATCTTTTGTTTGCACAGACTGTGGCAAAGGGTTCAATGCAAAGTCCAGTTTGAAGATTCACGAAAGAATTCACACTGGTGAAAGGCCGTACAAATGTGAATATTGCGATAAAACATTTGCGCAGGGCAGTACTTTGAAAACGCATCTAAAATTGCATTAATTTAGGTTGTAATTAATAAACGTTTGTTGAATGACCTTTTTGATTGATCAAATAAAACTACAGTAGGTACCTGCCTGATACATGCCTGAAATTTTAAAATAGGCTGATGTAAAACTGACATTGATGCTATACACGGGAACCCCTCCAGTTTTTAATGATTGCCCTGTATAACATCTCTTACATAACATTTTCTTTAATCTAAGTACCTTCCCATTAAGGCCCGGTTGCATAAAAGTACGGTTGAACCGCCGGTTAGTGAAACTCCGGTTTGGGGTCAACCGTCGGTTGGAATGGAACGCATTGCATAAACGCTATTTCTCTGTCGGTTGAGGAACCAACGGTTGGTTTTAGATTTCTACGGTTGACTACACTGACGATTCGGTACTAGCCAATCCACTTTTAGTATACGGAAAGCGCGGCAGGGGTGTTTGTAGTGTGCGCATGACAAATGTGTAATGGGGTTATTTGCCTTGTCTAAGGTTATTTGACAAGGCGTCAAACTAATAAACATTGTCCTCTTTCATGTAGTCTCCTTAAATTGAAAGGGACAACTTCTTATCCTCCTCTCTCCAATAAATATGATCGCTTGCATTCAAGATTGGATGTTATATTGTAACAAATTACTGCGGTACCTTTAATTATTTGGGTTGTGGGTTACAGAGGTTTTGGTTTCTGATGGTATCCAAATTGAAAAAAAAACTTAAGAAGAAAACCTTAATCCTACAAATAACCTATAACGTTCACAACTCAGATGAATTAGCTACGCATTTTTGTTTTCTCATGGTATCTTTTCTTAAACGAAATTACTGCCAGAATTCTTCTTCGTTCCATCTTTCATAGTGACCCTCTTTCGAAAATTTCTAGGTGCTGGGACTGCCCTCACATGCTCTTCATACTCGGATGAAGGGTTTTTGCCCACAGGAAGCTGCCTCTCCGTCCCCTGTCGTCTTCCTCGGAATCACTTTCTGTCCACAAAAATCTCGCTTTTCCATCTTCAATTCTAGCCATTCTGAAACAGCTCTTTGCACTGAACGCACAAGAAATGAGCGATATATTTTTGACGTTTGTATTAATTTGTATGTACTAACCTCACTTTTACACAAATTCCGTATATGTAGTGTATACGCTGAGCAAAACGATGATGGAAAATCACAAGCACTGTTCGAGACCACATCACAAGAACTAACAAAAGCGCAAATATGAGCAGAAAGGATGGTTTTCAAGTTATTTTTGTTCTTGCGAACGGATCGACTGGGCCGTCAACCGTCGGTTGAAGCGGCTCGACCAGTGGATTTCCGCCGGTCGAAATTTCATCGGTTCAACCGCCACCCGCGGTTAACCTTATGCAACGCAAAATCTCGCTCAACTGTCGGTTGAAGGCCAACCTGCGGTCAAACGGGTTTTATGCAACCGGCCCTAAGACTATCCATTGTTTGGATTACAATGGTCTTGGCTCCAAGTCCAACTAGATGTATATTTTTTATTATTCTTTTAAACCGTGGAAATTATCAAATTATTTTATGTGTGTATGTGTACTGACTTGTTTGTAAACTAACATTATCGCTTTGAAGAGACGGGCCTAGCAAAAACTGTAACCAAATGAATTACGACACTCAATAAGTATATACCGGGAGTGATCTCGACAATTGCAGGCTCGAAACCCCGAACGAGGGGCGAGTTATCTATCTCGGGGGCGTAATTTTGCTAATAAAAACTCCTCGGTTTAGAATCTGTGTTATATGAGTTGCAATTCACCGATTTCCACGTATATTTTGTTGTAATATTGAATTCGCCCTACAAGACCATGTAATATTCCATTACTGCACCCATTGTTCCCAAAACTTGTTTTTAACCTACAGTGAATTTTTTTTTAATGCGAACATAGGAGTTTGCATGCAATGTAATTTCCCTATGTTCGATTTTTAAAAAAACAAATCAATCTATTAGTAGTTCAAATGAGTAGTAGATACAATTGACAGCTGTCACATTTTTAAAAATACCGCCGTCCAATTTAATTATGAAATGGGTTAGGTTATTGCTTAGAATGTCAAGGACACTTCGAACATTTATTGTAATTGTTTTCGTTATTTATTTTCTTATTTTCTTCATTTATGTATTGAATAGATCAAGTTAGTTGAATAGCAGGTGCACATGGCCTACAAATAATTGAAGGTTGGTTCACCTTCACAATGAGTTGTGGTGTCAGCGCGTGCTCTGTGAGATCAAGCATAGTGTAATTACACTAAGTATCAAGTTATCGTAAGTTTAAGAAAAATTTATCCTAAAAGTTGCTATGGCCTCACATGGCTTCTTTAAAAAATCTTACCGAGCGCTATTCATCATCAAGACTATAGAGTTGCTGTTCATATAAATACAAAGAGTGATTATTGTCTAAACACAGACACATAAACATGACATACTGAACGCTCCTCACTATCATTGGGATAAAATTACATTTGTACGTGGGCGTCATTCAAGACAAGGTAGATTCTATTCCAGACAGGACGTTACAATTTTTATTATACCATGTTGTACACAATTATTCCCTTTGCTTTTTTTTAACCAGCGCTAACCAATACATTTTTCAGTTTTTCGGATAAAATTAATAATTGCAAAAGCGTGTGTTTTTTCTTAGCATAATTTCTGAAAACTTTTAGTTTCGCGTATCTACGATACTTTAGCAAATCTTCAAATATAATATGCACCTACTCATCCAGGCCATTCCAGGCATATTTACATTGTAACTACACATTTATCTAATTTAGATTTGTTGTAATTAAGCATTTTATGATTGGGATAAACGAGATATCCCGCTTAGCCTCCTACATAATAAAATTGTGTCCAGCTAAAGTGAGTCGGAACCATTGAATAAAAAATTAGTGTTTTTATTCAATGGTTATAGTGTCTTTATTCAATGGTCGGAACGGAACTTAAGCGTCTGTGGTTAAAATTTCAAAGAAATATCTCCATAAATATGAGTTTACATTGCGCAGTCTGCGCAAAATATGGAAAATATGAAAACTGATCGAAAGGGGCAAATATAGACCATAACAGCGAAAACCCGAAGTCTCTAGGTGGCCCAGGGGCCGAGATCTCGATAGAACGGACGGACGGAAACAGAGCACATAAGCTTTACCTCAACTTCGTTGTGTTATGATAAAAAATTTAATTTAAAACAAGATGTGAATATTCGGAATTTTAATTTTGAGTAAGATAACCAGATAAAAACATTAACACCCACACAAGGTTGCGCTTAAGAATGACACCGATATCCCATACAATAGCCCTTTATTCTACAAATAACTGTGCTTTGCCATTTCGCGCGTCTTCTTACCCCGCCTGGTAGTTTGTACTATTCTCATAAAAACATAGCCGCTGGAGGACGCAGTCGACTTATGTGGCGGGACGAATTATGAGAGTCTAAAATTTATACAGCGCTGTCTATCTAGTGTAGTATCTTTGCGTAGAGTAAGTGTGCGTTTACAATGAACGTATACGTATCAAATACATAAAACGTAAAAATTTCGCAAAGTTGAACTGTATAGAAACATACGAAGGTGTCTATGTCTTACGGTTTCAGAGATCCTAATGCTTAAAATGAAAAAAAAACTCACCCTGTATAGGCGCTAATTTCAAAGGATGAATAGCCCAGGTGTCTAGGTATAATTCAATTGCATAAGAATCACCTCCAATTTAATTAAGATATGAGAACGTTATTAATTCGCTCTGTAGAATTCTTTAATAGGGCGTTGGTTGGTTTTTCTAATAATTTTTAAAGCACATTCGCTGGGAAGCTATTGCAGAGATATTGTATGCATCAATTTTTGGTAATTCCTTGCCATATTTTTGTATTTTATCTGGCTATTCGACGAGAATCTTCTGTGCAATATTGGTACAATCAAGACCCAAGGGATTCGGTGGCCGCGCTAAGCTTTAACCTTGAAGAGAAAAACGCTAATACTAGTATGTAGGTTATTCAATAATAAAATCAAGACGATGAGATTATTTTATTTCACAGCATGCATTCACTCTTTAAAATATAATGATAGGTCAGTCATTTACAAAATGAATAATTTACAATGTTTATACTTAGACAGGTAGGAAACCTACTATGTACCTACCTATACTTATAATAGCATATAACAACATTTAAGAATATGGATGGAATTGTATAAATAAGTAACATTATACGAGAGGAATAAAAAAAATCGGTTAAAATCAATTTCACATACACGTGAAGTAAAAGGAATTACTAGAATAAAATCACAGCTGAATATAAATTGCAATAATAAAATTGAACCATTAAATGCTATATTAGTAGCAATATTTATACAGAAAGATGTACGTAATAAATATTAATAAATAGGAATTTTCTTAGTTATTGTCTTTCTGCACATATGACAAGTTTTTAATGTATCTGCGCATTTCGAGCATGTTCCGTGCCCACAAAGGAACACTACATTTCGTTTTCGTTCCATACAAATACTACATGCATGACTTTCTTCAATTTCGGCAATCTTACATTCTAAGTAACGCATTCTTTCTGCACTTGGCTGTCTACTTTTTGCCGGTATGATTCTTCCATCTTTAGTCACCCTTCTTTGTACAGCTATCCCGCACTGCAAGCACTTTTTCATTCGTGAGGCACAATCTTCGCAAGCCGGTTTGTGATTACAGGGTTCTAACTTCACGTTCTCCTCCGATAAGTCCGAGCAAACTAAACATTCGACAGGTTTACTAGTAACTATTTCATTTTGGTAATGGTTTTTGTGATTTGGCGAATTTTCCTGGGAGGTGCTGCCAATTTCTAGAGGACTTTTATCAGTCTTTTGTTCTCTTCTGCTCTTACGCGTACTTTTCACATCTTCATTAACTACATTACGATAGGGACTTCCTTTAGGAACATTTTCAGTTAAATTATAGCTATCAGGTACATTTAATGGCTCATTCAACGTTAAATATTCCACGTTTATATTTTCGGGCGTACTCTGCTGCACTTGGTTGCTATCTACATTTGGCTTGTAACTTTTAAGTAACTCCTGCAAGCTGGAATCTTGCAATAAATTTAGCGCCGATTGACTTTTCGCGTTTAATAAATCCATGTCTATTCCCATTTGAATGAGGTAACATGCAATCGCTATTGCCACTCTATTTTCGGAGATATGAGAAATATTTTGATGTATTGTAAAAATAGTCGGACTGTCGTCTTGTCGAACGTCTGTATTGATGTGCGCTCGTTTAATTAAAACAAGATGTAAAGCTGTATCACCGTCTTCGTCCTTGGCGTTAATGTTGGCTTTTAATTTTATTAGTAATTCTATTACGCTACAGTGACCTGAAATAAATAGGAATTAGTATTGATTCATAATAAAATCAACATTTTTCTGTTCATTATTGTATTATTAGTACCATGAGGGAAGACAACTTGTGCTATGGCGCTTGGATATTCCTGGTGAAAAGGTAGGTACTGTGTACTAATACTGCATTCATTATAAGAAGGTAGTACATAGCGCTGTGTTTGAAGTAGAAATATCCAGCAAACGATTTCATGCTTGGATCTTTGACATTAACAGGTGATGACAGCTGTTTAGTTGGCAAAAGAAATACCGGTTGATAAAATTCTTCATTCATTATATTTTTCAGCGTAATACCATTGAGTAAGTGTTATTCAATGGTAATATTGAGTCCTGTTATAACCAATCACTTTGAAGGTTAAAGCTTCCCTATGCTTTTTACCATTACCTTCTTAAAATAAAAAACTACAGTACTAGTACCTACAACATTTTGAACTGTTTGTAAAATTACCCACTGTTTATTATTACAGAGATTTTGAAACAATAATTAATATACATATTCGCAATAAAATATGGAGTGCAAACGCAAGTTTGACACGCCATTGCAATACAGTACGCCTCTGGTGAACAAAAATATTTTAGAAACATGGCGTTTGCTCTAAGACTTTTTTTCATATTTTTTTATGCTGTGTACACAACGTCATGTAGACGTTCTTTTGTACTAAACACCAAAAATAATGACGGTACATCCTGTATACGAGGTTTTAGCGCACGTGTTCTTGTCGCTGCTATAAGAGATAACAGAGTTGCAGATGTTACTGTGTGTGCGTTAGTTTCAGCATTAAGGTAGCCGGCACTAAGCGGAACTGCATTGCAACGGAGCGACGCAATGCAACGCTACGAAATATTTATAGAGGTGTCGCATACGAACTGCTATGGCGCAGCACTGCAACATTTTTGTTCAACAGTCATAAGGTGTCATTGAGGAAGATCGATGAAATTGTCGAGGACGTAATAATAGTGTCTTTGGTATGTGAGGAAGAAGAAAAGTTAGATGAAGCAACATGAAAGCATTCTCTCCAAATATTATTTTTTTGTGCTGTTCATGTAATTTTGGAGGTCATATAATGTTGCGTCCCCGAAATAGAATTCGTTTCTTTAGTTATTCCTTCAAAGAAATTATCCTTAGCACACCCTGTATATAACTTCGACGATCGCTGAATATATTCCCACGTGTGCGGCGTACCATCGCCTTCGTCGTAGTTACTCATCGCTTACTTTGTTTTGAACAACCAACAAGCTACATGATCGCAACCGAAAAGGGCAACCATCGCCAGACACCACCGTTTATTTAATGAACCGACTTCGACACAACAAGTAAGTCACGAGGTACGCCACTGTGCGACAGAATTGGTGAAAAAGTCAACTTTGTAGTTCAATGCGGTGTCGCGTAGCGTAGTGCGGATATGTCATGCAAATTCGATTAAGTAACATTTGTCTGCGTCGCTCCGTTGCAGTGCAGTTTTACCCTTAAGACGCGTTCTTTCTAAGCGGGCGTTATCAAGTCTAATATTATAATTGGCGCCTTTATTTGAAAGTCCTGAGGAAGGAGATTATTTTGCTGTGGAAGATGTGTTTTGTTACCTAGTGGATTGCTATTCGAATAGTCCGCCCGATTTGATCAGTTGACGTATGTAGTTTGTTATTATTATTATGCAGAAGGAAGTTAATAAAAATTGTGTGACAAGTTGAAACCGGTTTCTCCATTTTATGGAAGCAGTCTGAAAATGCACTGTGAGGCCTTCTGCTACGGTGCTTTTGTTATTAAAAGTTTTGTACCGTCTGAACAGCCACGGGTAATTCGTCATTTTATTTATCAAGTTAAGCTGCTTGTCAACAAGTTTTGTGTGTAAAAGAAAATTATTGAATTTGTGTAGTTAATTCTTTGACATTTTCGGCAGTTGATCGAGGCTACTGAGTCTCCCAAATTATTAATTGAAGGCAATATTGGTTTTTTTTTGTAGCAGATGCCGGAAGTGTACAAGGTGAAATTATAAAAACTTTGTGGTTCAATTGCGCAATCATTGACATTTCGGATTTACCGACGCACATTTCAGTCGTGAAACAATCTCTACATGATCTTCGTTTTCCATTCACGTACACGCGCTTGGCACACCATTTGAACAATACCTCTACTTACATTTTATCTGCTTTGCATTTCATTGTAATGTTTTTGTGCGAGCTTGCACTTTTGTATTATATTATGTACTCAAATAAACCTAAATTTCGCCGACAGATACACAAATAATAGTGCGTTTCCGTAACCTCTTCCCTATGCATTTGTATATGCGCGCCGTAGTTTGTAACGTGATTGACGTCATACGGCGTGGGGAAAGGGGACACGATGCGCGTTGCGATACCGTTTTTATTATACAAGGTGGCGCGCGGGAACGATCGATTATGAATCGATTAGTATTATTGTAATTGGAACCATGACAACACTTTGTTGACGTGGTTGTGTGTAGAAAAGTTCGCCATTTCATTTGCGCTGGAAAATTGGACTGGTCAAGAACGTGCATTCGCTGTGAAGGCATTTTACAAAAATAACGACAGTTATGAGCAAGCAAGACGCGATGTCGAGTGGCCCGCCAGGTCCCCAGATCTTTCAACGTGTGATTTTTTTTGTGGGGATTCCTGAAAGATCGAGTGTTTAGAACTCGCACACATAACACCAATGAACTCAAGGACAGGATTCGTGAAGAGATTTCATTGATTTCTGTCGAGTTGTTGCAAAGAGTTATGGCAAATTTGCGTTCGCGAATGGAGGAATGCGTGCGCTTAGAAGGAGCTCATCTAAGAGACACAATTTTCAAAAAGTGACATGTTTATTGAAGTGACATCAAATGGCATGATTTCATCTTCATAATAGCACAGATCTACACATACACAGATTGCTAACCTTATGCATTTTTTGGGAAACAAATTTAGGTATACTTAAAAGCGCCCTCTATTGCGGAGCAGTAGAAACATGTACCGTTTAAAACTGTAATATGACGCTTATGGATTTATGCATTAGATGTCGCTGCAAAAAATGTAAAGCGGTCAAATGTGCATATAATCCAGTTTAATTGTATTTTTACCAGGAAAGTTGTGGGGTAGTTTTGATTTCTTTGATTCTATATGTTTTTTGGGGTGCCGAATCCGAATCCGAGGTTTGCTAACAAAATTTCATGACGCAACATTGAAAAAAATACAAAAAAGTTGAAAAGGATATTTTTTTAGCAGTTTTGTGCTTACAACTGGAAAACTATCAACTTTTCGAAAATAACCTCCCTATCTTATATCTTATCGACGTGGTAAAGAGTGTAACGTTAATGATGGCAGAGATATACATAGTTTGTAAGTATGCCTTTCCGGTTAGCAATCTGTCAAGACCTTTAAAGCCGCAAATAGTTTCCGCCAACTTCAAAAAACCTTCACGATTCTTTAAGAACCTGCCCTATGTTCGTGTGTATCTGTGACCACAGGGACCCGCTTTTAATAACTCCCTTACGACGAATGAGTAGCTCCAGTGTTAAATTAAACAATTATGGCTCAACGTACCTCCTATCATATCATACCACTGTAATAATACGAATATTAAGGAATTCGAATTGTGCAAACTTTAATGTTGTTTCAGCGACATCTAACGCATAAATCCATAAGCGTCATATTACAGTTTTAAACGATACATGTTTATACTACTCCGCAATAGAGGGCGCTTTTAAGTATACCTAAATTTGTTTCCCAAAAAGGTTAGCAATCTGTGTATGTGTAGATCTGTGATAATAGTTACGAAGATATGTACATAAAATTAATTTCCCTTTGATTATTTCTTTATTCATAATCGATCGTTCCCGCGCGCCACCCAGTACCATGTAAATAAGTTTCAAAATTAAGGGTCAATAAAATGTGTTGAGAGAATTAGAAAATTATGCATACTTCTCAAGACATTCAAAACAATACGAAATATCGAGATTTCGTTATTTTTTTTAGGTTACTTCAAAAGAAATAAAAGACTTCATATTGGAACTTTTATAGTTCTAAAAGATGACGTTCGCAAAATTACTATACAACAATGGCGGTTTGAGGAAGATACTTTTCAATGGATGTCAGCCACTCCACCAAACGTGCCCATAATAAAGCTACTAGTGTGGTGAAAACTGTACAGAGCATATGGAACCAATTTATCAGAGAACAGTAGATAGAGTCAAATTTTCAATAACCAAAGGAATACCTGTTTCAGCCGACTTACTTCTCACCTGTGTACGTCCATCGAAATTTACACCCCCTAAGGTTAGAGCTGAGTCCAGCGTTCTAAAAAACCGCTCGAGCGACGAGCGCTTTAATTTTCTCAAAAATTCTCGCGAGCGTCGAGTTGTTTTGTGCAAAGTGAAACCGCGTTCAGAGCACTCCTAAAAGTGCGCGAGCGGTTTTTATCACTAGCGTTCGGGAAAAGTGCATGTGAGCGAACAAAACGCTCAAGAGCGGAAAAAACCGCACGGGAGTGGAAAAACGCTCGCGAGCGGAGATTAACCCTTCACCGCTTGAGGGCGGTTAAAAGCGCTCACGAGCGAAAAAAAAACGCTCAGGAGTGGAAAAAGCGCTCGGGAGCGGAAAAAACCGTTCGCGAACGGAAAAAGGACTCGCGAACGGAAAAAGGACTCGCGAGCCTAAAAACCGCTCGTGGGTAGAAAAAAGCGCTCAAGCGCCGAGCACTTTAAGTAAACGCCCGAGTATCGAGCACGAAGCGGCCGCTCCGAAAAGTGCTCGCAAGCGCTATTCCGAGCAGAACGCTCGCGAGCAGTAACCAGCTCTACCTAGGGTACATCTTTGCTTAACATGTAAATCGTGTATTTTTATTATAATACATACAGCGTCAGTCAGATTGGAGTATAAACATCATGTTAAATACGTACCTTGACTAACAGACAACAACAATGCAGATTGATTTCTATTGTTCCTTAAATCAATATCAGCTTGACCAATCCTAATTAATGTATCTACAACATCGCGATGCCCATTTAGAGCTGCTAGGTGCAAGGCAGAAAAGCCATCGTCTTTCTTTGTGTCGACCAACTGCCGTGCCTGCGCTAACAGTTTACGGGTTGCAAAATTCTTCCCTTTCAGCGCTGCATGATGTAGGACATTAAATCCCCGTTTATTTTTAAGAGTAAAATCGGTGCCTATAATGAAAAACAGTTTAAATATCGGTAGAAAATCATCAGTACATACTGGCAGCGGTACAAAGAAGTTCTATAACTTGATAACTGTCCTTGCCAATCGCATCGTGCAATGCTGTATCACCGTACAGATCACGACCATTGGGATCGGCGCCCGCCGCTAATAGAATTTGAACACATCTAGCTGGTTGTTTGTGAGCTGCTATGTGCAGCGCAGTGCAACCACTACGATTTGATGTATTTAAATCTGCTCGGTTCTGAATCAATAATTCAAGAACCTAAAAAGCACAATTACATCTTTATTAAAACGAAAGTGAATGCGCGTACTTCAGATTGATTTCCAAATGCAGCATAATGCAAGCATGTGTCTCCATCTGAATCGCTAGCATTTACAGCTGCACCATTTCGCAACAGTAGCTTGACAACCTGCACATGCCCTTGATGAGCAGCAACTTGTAATGACGTTTTTCCTCCGCTCCGCATATCTACCATCCCTCTAGGTACATCTTCCAATAACCTTTGAACGGTCTCTAGCTGTCCTTGGGCAGCCGCCCTTACTAACTGGTCTGCAGTACTATTGGTTTGATTATTGGCGGGGTTCGTAGGTTGCCATTGCACTAATAACATGAGCAATTAAAATAGGGTGGTGAACAGGTAAACGACGTACTTGACGGTTCCTGTCTCTGATTTTGGTTTGCGTGCATTGTGTTGGCTAATTCCGCTGCGCTCCCTGGAACGAGACGTACGCATTGTGGATTTAAAGTCCAGGCGTGTCCGTCAAGTTGTACGCGTAAATCACCATCAGAGTAAACTTTTAAGACTTTCCCTAATTTTCCCAAAGCCTAAAGAGCAAGTATTAAAGTGTGGAAAAACCAGTGGAAAATGCATACATTTTTCATTATATCAATCCACTCCCCATGACCCTTTTGCAATTCTTTAACTCGATCCAAATCACTTATGACACTAATAATGTCACCCACAGCAAAGCTATTCACCTTACACAGCGTAACAGGATTAAACGTCCATCTGTTGTTGCAACCCTCATACTGTACCCTGATATCCCCTTTGTCAGTCACTCGGTGTACAGTGCCTATTTTGCCAATGTACTGCGAATTTCTTTAATAAAACATAAAGATCGACTAATCCCACGCTTACCTCTGCCATACGAGGATTCCAACCCCCATGACCATGTTGCATGGCTTTCAGCTCTTCAACATCAACAATAACCTGCACTTTGTCCCCAACACTGAAAGGGGGTGGACCAGTTCGAACCGGCCGAACAATGCTCTGTTCCATAACATGACCTACACACCAGACATAAGGGAAACCAATGAAAATCGACACAATCTTACCCAAAACTGGTACATGTTCGGGATAGTAATAACCTCCGCTTGCTGATTCAATAAACTTTATGTCACAATTCCCCTTATGTCCTAATCTATAAACATTAGTCGAGCCCGAAATCCACGTAACGTTCGCCACGGATCTACTACTTTCATTGTCCCATCCACGAATGTCCAGGACTCGTCCTAACTTACCTGAAGCAGGCGCTCGAAGTGAAAATAAAAAATGAACCAATACTACCTTCGCCTCCATCCTGGTTTCCCCATTCCCAATTAAAACCTCTGACTACCTTGGCGCCGACAAAAATTCCCTTAAGTTCTTGTTTTTTTGCGTTCTTGCGCACGGGCAAATCCACTCTGAAAAAAAATGTGCACATGATTTCTCCATAATTATTAGTGCCATCAAAAAAGTAATATAGGCATCATATACTCGTTTTGAGTCAAACTTAACATTGTAAAATCAAAATTTGGAAAAATTCAAAAAATAAAGTGCCAATAAGCAAATTGTCAATTTCAGAATGGCCCTACATTTTCTTAGTTAAAAGAGATACAGAAAAATGTTGATTACAAAAGTTTCTTTATAATGATTGTTGAATAATCTCCCGTTTTGAAATAAGTAGACGGGACCAGATGAAAAATGTATGGATCAAAGTCCATTTTTTAAAATGGAACACCCAGTTTATTTTAATCTAAAAGGTTAGCATATTAAATTCTTTTTTCAAAAATATATTCAGAAATGATTCAAGTGATTCAATAGTATATTAAGATACAAGTGTATAATCAAGTCTTTAAAGCACGCGCAACGAGTTTAAGGGCACGACGCAAAGCGGAGTGCCTTTAACGTTGCAAGTGCTTTAAAGACAAATTATACACGTGTATCTTATAGTATTTTTTATTATACCTGCAGTATAATTTAAAAATAGGAAATACAATGAAGTCATATTGACGTTATACTCAATACATGTTTAATTAAGTGGGCTGGGTGTTCGAAGTTTCACGATTGCCATGGAAATGTCACTTGACGTTTGCTTATAATTATCATCATCTTTGTAAATAAAACGATTTCCGTTGAAAAAGATAATACATCGTCCATTAAATCGCTTGTAAAATCTAAACAAACGTTGGTAGGTGTAAAATCCAAATCCAGTAAAGCCTATTATAAAGAATATGAAAAGTTGTTTTCATGGACGAATAGGAAGTTACTTATGAATACAGTCTTAAATGCATTCATAATGCTGGCATATATGAAGGAAATGTCAAAGGTATTTAAATCTTCTATATTTTGGTGCATTCATTCAATACTTTAAAGCAATGCTGCGATTAAAAAGTGGAACAGATTAGGAAGCATACCCTAAATTACGCGCGTTTGTGAAAGCTTCAACGAAAGGATAGGTACAAAAGTCAAAGAAATGTTCTGCATTTACAGAAAGCGAGGATTTTTTATTTCATCCATTTATTTCAAAAGTCATACTTGAAGTATTGTTACTTAGCAACTTTAAAGCACGTGTGTTTTAAAGGCCCTTTTTCGCACGCATTTGAGTGTTTAAAACGGAGATTGTGATTCAGGTATAATAAAAAATATTTTTTAATTTTCTAAATTTTTAAAAAAATGTTTTTTGAATCGTTTTGAAACAATAGTTATGTTTTGAATGTTTTTAGTGTGATATTCTTGAAAAGATAATTTAATATCCAATAATTTTAGATTAAAATATCCATTTTAAAAAATGAGATTTGATCCATACATTTTTTATCTGATCTTATCCCGTATAAGTACGGTCTAGCAAAGGACTAACGTGTGTCTTGGGTAACAAATCACATCTTTTAAAGAGCATGCGCTGTATACTATTCCTATTAAAAATTACTCAAAATATGTGCACTTCCAACATTTAACTTGCTATACCAAGTTATTTTTTTCAATAATATGTTTCGATACGTTTAATTCGTGAGCAGTCTCTTTGTACATGTAAAATTGAAATATTTTATCTGAATAAAAAATTACCCTGTAGAAGTAGCCGAATCAAATCTCTTGAACGAGTGAGTCACATCATGTTTATCGCCATGGTAACACATATAGCAAAGATCATAATCATAACACACAGAGCACTTGTAACGCATACCGGCTATCCCTTGGCTATCGCAACCATCACAAACTATATTTGGATGTTTAACACCTAAAGCAAAACATGTGGTTGTCATTTATAACCAGAATGAGAATTATACAGTACCAATCTGCGCATTGTCAATTGCTCTTAAATCAAACTTTCCTAGATACCCAACTCGATAATTAGTTCTTGTACCATTGTCCCACTGAACAACAACTGTCTTATCCGGCGATCCAACAGCGCCAGCTTTACCAATTTCGCAGACAGTACCGACATGCCCTTCGCCACCGTCTACAAGTAACTTTAATCGATTGACAATACTTAAATATGACTTTTTACCTTGATTACCCCACGACCAATCTGGACCACGTACTATTCTTACGCCTGGTGCCAACATTTTCTTCTTACACTTTTAGTGATTATATTATTCCCATTCGAAGTAAATGATAAGACTAATTTATCAAGATAGTGTAGTTACATACATAAAAAATCCATCTACATCCATTTACTGTAATGTACTAATTGCTATAATTGATTGTGGGCAATTCCTATGTAAATTACAATTTGTTTATGAAAATCAGCTGGAAATTTCGCTGATGCACTTTATTTGCAAGATTAATCGATTTTCTGTACTGAAGAGGGCGATACGGACCAAACAATCGACGAGCACAGTGGCGTAACAAAGTTCAGTGCGGCGGCCCCATCAGGGTCTCGATTTTCGACTGCATAGGAAAATATTTCGACCGGAACTGGAACAGCATTTCCAATGAATAAAGAGCATTTCTCATAGTAGCGGCGTTGGTATCGCAAAGCGACGTAAGTCGTATTAAAATGCACGTAGGAGACAGCTTGCCCTCTTAGTTTTCATTTCTCTCTCACTTGCAGTATCCGTGTTTGTCACGCGCAGTCCATTTATGATATATGTTGATGCATTCCACCAATGAGAACTATACATCTAGAGCAGAGTTGCTTTTGTTGGCAATACACACTACAGTCTACACGGACACACAAACACGTTTGAATTAAACCCTTTAATAATAAATTGTTGAAGATTGTCTGCCTAGATAAAATGGAAGGTAGGTAAGTAAAAAAATGGTAATTATTGTATAATTACTACGGACCTCTTAAATCAATAAGTCATGCCAAAAACATTCCAAGAGAAGGAATAGTGGATTAAGCAGTGTGTAAGAGGTATTTCTCCAATTACTCCAATCCATTGGTCTCTACTATTCAGCCTCCTACAAATTTTGTATCTACGAACAACAGCGGTTTCTTCCATTTTAAGTATTTATTGCATTTTATGAAAATTTTGGAATACTAGAATAAAGTATAATAATATAGATAACTTTTGATTTCATTCACATAGAATTTGGTTTTCCCGTGGAACTAGACCACTGGAATTCTTTTCCCATAGGTACTATTTCTATTACTATTTTTTCTGTACTTATAAATTTTATAGGCTGAGATGCTTCTTATAAAATTAAATTGTTAAAGAATAGATTGTGCATACACAGTGCGGATTTTTTTGGCAAATGACTGAAAACGAATTTGGCTAGAGTAACTGATTTTTTCGGACCAAGACCGTTAATGTGGAAATTCGACTCAATCCCTGATTTTATTTGTACAATTTCAGTTGTTTGACGTGTATTTTTTTTTTCTCTGGCATTGCCGTAGCATAAGTGTATTCTATTCTTACACTATGGCCATAGGTACTCAGTTGATTTAGCAGCTGTAGAGAAGCTAGAACTCTGATCTCACATTGTTATTATTAGCTTCCTAGCATGTGCTAGGTAGCTATTGCGATAGCCGTTTTTTGAACATTTCAAAATTTCATCAAATGTCGACGTTTTAGACCATTTTAAGAAACTTTTAAAGAATAAAATTTTTTTCCGTCTGTATGTACGTACGTACGTTTGTTGGCAATTTTCTGAGAAAACGGCTCGACGGATTTTGTTGAAATTTTGTATATATGTGTTAGGCATACCGAACAGAAAAATAACGGGCCGGATTTTTGGAAAAAAATTTTGGAGCGCCGTAACGGCATCGAACTTTTTTTTCAAATAGCAACCTAAAATTTTTATTCTATTATTTGGAAGACCTTATTTTTCTGTGTACAACCTACAAAAAATTGTGCCGGGTTATATTATCAAAAAACGGAGAAAAAAATTGTCAAAGTCAAAAAATTGTGTTGCATATGTGCAAAACGCAACGATCTTGTTTCTGAAGCAATGGTAAGTCCCTTTAATAAAAGCAAACAAAATTCATGCGCAAAAATAGTGTTGCGCATGCGCAGAAATGCAATTTTCTTATTTATGGAACAATTAAAACGAAATTTGGATGGTAGGTCCTCCTAATAAAAGAAAACAAAATGCATGCGCAAAAATCGAGTTGCGCATGTGCAACATCCAACTTTCTTATTTATGGAGCAATTTTAACGAAAATTGGATGGTAGGTCCCTCTAATAAAAGCAAACAAAATGCATGCGCAAAAATCGTGTTGCACTTAAGCAACTTTTAAAGAATAAATTTTTCCCGTCTGTAAGTGCGTACATATGTTGGCAATTTTTGGTTTCAGCTAGGAAGCTATTCTGTCAAGAATTTGACACCTGGTTTTACATGTTGTCGAGTGGATTTTGTTTTTGTGTTACTGTAGTGTGAAAAAGAACATGATTCAGATAAAAGTTACTTAAACCAAAAGCATAAATGTAGCAAGCCACGCTTCAAATATTTGCATTTTATGCATAATGTATATAATATCGGCCAATTGTGATATGAAATTCAAAGATTAATAGTTAGTACTATGCGATCAAAAATGAGTTGCTGTCGAGCACGAACTTATAAATTAAGATGAACTGTTGATCAAACAGTTGCATAGAGGTAGAAATGGCCCTAGCATGGTCGCGACCATGATGTGCACTTTTTAGTTATTTTCTAGGGGAATTTTCCTGGTGCTCAAGTTTTGAGACTATTGCAGCCTTAAAAAATGACATGTGTCACAGTAATTTATTTAGAAAACGTGAAGCTATGCTTGTTTATTAGTTGATTTGAATTTCGCGCCAAGTGAGTGCACATCATGGCTGCCCCCATGTAGGTGTCATTTGTCAATTCAGCATTATCAGTCTATCTTAATTGTTCGTGCTGTCGAGTCACCTTTGGAATTTTTGTTTACATGGGAAATCGTACTTAACTTGAACTTCCAAAGGCGGCTCGACGGCACTCATTTCTGATCGCCCGTTACAAGACACGATTACTACCTATAAATATACTTTTCAAAACACAACAAACAAAATAAATGCTAGACTCGCTATTACTTAAACTCAGCTGGGATTCGAATACTTACTGTTAACCGACGCTTAAAGATTTTTTCCCAAACTTTGTTGTATAAATTTCCTGTTCTTCGGCACATGCGTAGAACGATTGCAGAGCGTTTCATAATTAGGTGCAATTTTTTCCAATCTGACATGTGTTGCATAACCGTAAGTATGTTACCACAGCTGCATTCTGAATTGCGAGAAATTGTATACAACAAAAAGGGCACAAAAATTATAGTTACTGTGCAAACCATGCAATGCATTTTGCAGTTTCTGTGACGAAATTAATGAACAAAGGTGTTTTTTTAACCACTCACTGCTATGAATCATTTTGGGATGTATACAGTATAGACGAAAATATTGTACTCGTAATCGTGGATCAATTTTCGATATGCCAATATTGCGTTTTCTTGACGTTTTGAAGCTCACAGGCCCCAAAAATGTGATTATTAGCTTGACGTCTGTGGGGTTCGTTTTTTGTGAACACGTAACTAAAAAACCCCTGAACCGATTTGGACGAAATTTGGAGTGCATATAGGTTGATATGGGGAATCGAAAACGTCTTATTTTGGTTTTGATCCGTTGGTTGAGGGTGTCAAAAGTTTAAGAGCCATAACGGCTTGAACAATGTTTTTTAAATTTTTTTTGCATACTGACCAAAATGGCTTAAAACTCAAAAAAAATTTTTTTTGAGTTCCTTTGTTTTTGAGAAGTTTTGATTGAAAAGTTAAACTATTTCGTTTATTTTTCTAAATTTGCATTTTTCTCACCATCGGAGTGAAAAATGTTAATTACAAAAAGATGTATCTTGATGAGATCTTCTAAAAAGGTTGGTACACTTTGTGCGGCGCTAGAGGGAATTTTCTAAATATGACCAAAGATAATTGCAATGACCTTGCCAATCACTATAAAAAGTAGTCTGAAAGTCAAGTCAGGAGTATACCTGACAACTAGTTTATTTTGGTAGGCTAAGGGATTTTTAAAATGGGTAGCGTTTTCACAACCTAAACCATTTTTTTTCCTTGTTTTTTGACTTTTCAACCATCTAATATACTTAAAAAAAAACCCAAAGCGTGGGGCAATGAAAAAACATTGTGATAAGCCTGCAAGAGTCAATTTCTTTTATAATATAATTACCACTTTTTAAGCAAGTCAAGTATTAAAGACACTCATAATACATATACAGCCAAAAATGCGCGTTTGACCGTTTGTCCAGACTATTTTCAACGCGGATAGCTTTGGTTTGGCCATGTCGAAGAAATTCACTTTTGGGAGTCATTTGTTTACTATTGCAGTCAGTAAATGGGCGCCATGTATGTAAAAAATGAAATAGTTCCACTTAGAGGACAACCTGTTGTCTGTTTTTACATTGTGTATCTCAGTAGTATTAAAATTAAATAACTTTATTTTCCATACTAAAATACGTTAAAAAATAATACAACTACACAAAACATTATTTTACAGCGTATTGCATTTTTACAAATTAAATAGGCATCTTTTGTCACCTTTGGTATTTGTCTTTTTTATAATATCAATACAATGGATTGTGACAAATGGAGTACATTAAGAAAAAATCAAAGTAAATTTGTAGAGAATGTCTCTAATAAATATATAAAAACAATTCTAGCAATAAAATAAAACTGTACTCACAACGTTACATTAGATGAATCTCAGACTATAGGTAAGTAATGCACGTAAACTATTATACCTCATAAAGTACCATTAAATAGTTTCTTTGACACATTAAAAATATACAATTTACTTAAAAGATATAAACAATATTATTTACAACTATCTACAATATTAAAAGCTAAAATTTATAAAAAGATCAAAAATAAAATTTTAGTCTAAATCACATTTCAATAATTTATCATTAATTAAGTGAAGGATATATTGAAAGTCTGCAAACTCATTGGTCCAATAAGGGCATGTGACAAATCAGGAAGCTCTTCTTTCTGAGCCGTGGTACCTGTAAGAGTGGTAGGTTGCCACTCCTTAACGTAGGCATGAACGAAATTGGTGTTCTCTTCGATCTGTGATAATGAACAGACAAAGTTCTTGTTTACAGTACAATCGTATCCCTGCCGATGAAATACTATCAGCGCATTATTTGAGGGAAACTGTGCATAGCTTATGTCTGGCTGTGTGCGTAAGGTTAAAATGTGCATGTCACAGGGTAATTGTTTATTAAGCAACTTCATCGTATTTTTCACTTGTAAATTATCACCATCTGCTTCCACAATAAATACATTAACCGGATAATTTAAGGCATTCGAAAGTTGATTTGCGTACAAAGATGGACGGGAAAAATCTGATTTCTTTTGTAAATCATTTTGCGAATCAGTCGGAATATTGAAAGATCGTATAACTTCTCCCTTCTCAAACAAATCATCTCCACTGTTATTTTCATTCTCGAACCTTTTGAACGACTCCTTCTTTATGTTAGCCTGTTCGATGTCCTCCAAGAGTAACCAAAACTTATTTACAGTTTTACGATTATCCACCAAGCCTTCTCCCATACCACGTGCATCATCGTATAAAGTTCTACGTTCTAACATGATTTCTAAAAATCCGGGTTGCCAACTGGCAGCACCTTGAGCGTGATCAGTCAATAAACTGATTCTCTTTGCATTATCCTGAATGTAAGCCATTGTAGTAATCGGGAAGTAATTGCCTTCTATTCCGATTCGCTCCACCTTGACACGCTTCTGCATTTGTAGACCACTGGAATCCGTGTAGAACTCCGGTGGATCTCCATTTTGTACATCCGTTATTAATCTCATAAATAGCTCGGTTTCTCTATTCTTTGGTGGAGATTCGAAGTCGACAGTATTTTCAATGAAGATGCCATCATTCAGGTAGCTGTCATCAATGTGTAAAATCTGCACGGTGTGAACCAAGAAAGGTCCGTAGAAAACAGTGAGTTCGCTCGCAACAGCACCCGATGTAATAAGTACAGTCATTTGATCTTTGTAATGATAGAATACATCCTTTTCGATGTCGCGTTCGTTCGGATCTGGCATGAATAAATATGCTCCAGAATGGAATTGGGCACTCTTATATGCTGCAAATTGAATCGCACATTGAGTCACTTTGTGTGTAATTTTCTGCGTAATAGACTTCATAAATCCTGTGGTACCGCTGAACAAAATTTTGTGTTTGCTGTTTTCCAGCTGTATATCACCCGGTTGCATTCTTCTGATTTTGAATACTGAACTTACGGTGGTCCTTGTTTCATCTTCAAATTTGAATTGTTGACCGACGGAATCGTAACATTTACTGCAATAGACGTTAACAAAAGCATCGACTTTCTTGGCATTATGTTGTATGGTGTAAGTGATAAGACTTAGTTCCGGTAATTTTGCAACGAAAACTAGCTCGAATTCAGTTTTGGAAATTGATATCTTTGTATTGGCTTCCGAACAGTCCCACACTGGATTCACTTGGAAAATGACCGGTTTTCCTTCATTGTCAAGCACTTTAACTTGTGTAGTCGACACTCTCACTTGTACCAAGTTGTCACGTGGTTGGGCCAGGGAGTTGTATAAAACAATCTGAAAAATGATAAAGATGATGTAAAAAGATGTGTTTACAAGCTGAGTTTTTATCCCACCACCTAATTTTCACTTATACCATTGGACAGCATAGTGAATGCATCTACTGGTTTCCCAGCAATGTTTGGGCAAACGCATAACATCATGGTTGGTTACATTACTTTATAATTATTATGTCAACTTATGTTGTATGGATTGGATGTTAATTTGAGATCGTTGCTACTGGTAGCTTTGAAAAAATGCAAAAAATCGATTAAACGAAATCGGTTTAGATTATTGACCCTGCCTATTGTGGTAGCGCCGAGGGTAGCACTTTTATGCCAAGTTCTCAACTAAAGTTGCGCAAGTTAATTTTTGGGCAACAAGGCAATGTATTTTGCAGTTTCTGCAATGAAATACATGAAAAAATAAAGATTTTGCTCTACCAACTTAACCAAAATGAGAGTACGGCAGGAAGAGCACAAAAATAAAATCCTCTGCATCACAGCAATGTGTTTTGTAGTATCTTCAATAAAATTGGTTAATAAATTGAAAATTTTTTGGACATGATCTTGCAGTGATTACAAAAAAAAAACATTTCTTGCTGCACTTTCAAACGAGGCATCAAAATGATTTCTACCACTTTCCAGTGCCGAGATCTCGTCCCTCACTTGTACTGACAGCAGGAATAACGTAATAGCGTATTTTATTTTTTGAAAAATGCGCAAAAAAATGGAGCAGATTGTACACACACTTTCAAACGAAAATTGCTGAAGGACTCATTTTTGGTTTTTCGCTGATATCTTGAAAACTATGCGTCCTAGCGACATGACCATTATAAACAAAATGAAAGCTGATTAAATTTAATTTATTGAATTTTACTCAGTCAAGTTTTCGATATTTTGTATAGTTTTCGAGATATCCGCTCTTAAAATCTGTAATCTGGAAAAAAACATTTTGACCTCACATTTTTTGTGTTTTTGACCGAATAACTCTTCAACAATGCACCCAAAAAATAAATACTTCAATGGGATGTTTTGTTGTCACATTTAACGATGATAATGATGATGATTTAATGAGTGTTGTGTTTTGTTTGTTTTTGAGCTAAGTGTTTTGTTTGTGATGAGGAAGTTGTCACATTTAACGATGATAATGATGATGATTTAATGAGTGTTGTGTTTTGTTTGTTTTTGAGCTAAGTGTTTTGTTTGTGATGAGGAAGTGTCTGCATCAAGTTCTGCTGTCTTTAAAGTTAGTGAAAATGGAATAGTTTCCCTTAAAGAATCAAATAAAGAGAGGGGTGACGGCAAAATCAGCCAACTAGCTACTGTGACGTCACTTCTGGTCCACACGTTGTGTAGAAAAAATTACACGAGGACACACGCGGCTTTCAAAAAACGAGATATCAACATCTACTAGGCCTAAAACATTGGTGCTGCGATCTGCATTACCCAAGTTCAATTTCAACAATTGTTTTGTTTGTGGAGACTTGGAGAGTGCATTCAATATGAAACAAGTGAAGACAAAAGAAGGGAGGTACATCCAATCCGCACTCTTGACTTCCATAAAGTATGTATGTCTACAGCCACCGTAAGGAATGATACTTGGGGTTAAGAAGTGATCCTTCACCTTGCCTGTGATAATGACCTCGTTCGAGAAGAGGGATTTTATCACAGTAACTGTCGTTTGAAATGCATCAATCCTTATATGCTCATGAGAAATCATGAAGTTCCCCATCTGAGCCTACGCAGCAAAAGCTATGGATGATATTTATACCTTCATTGATAATAGTACAGACTGCCAGTTCTCACAGACTGACATCCTCAATGCAATTACTGCGGAGAAATCTGTATGGAAAACTCTAATACCCAACTTCAAAGCAAGTATATGACCTTGTGTGAGTTCGGACATATTCCTTTCTCTGAGATAACACTTCCTTGCAGCAGAAGTTACATTTGGTTCGATTGACATGAAGTCCAAATTCCTGGAGAGCTTTGAGGACAATCTCTATGGGCTCTACGGCCCTGATGTATTCTTCAAGCAGGATTAAATCGTCCCAATAAACGAGTACGATAATATTGTACGGAGTCAGGTGTCCCTTAAACATGTACAGGGTGGCCAACTAAGAATGCGAGGTACTGTATCTGAGAATATATCCATCATAGAGGCTTGCGGTAAAAACCTGGAAAATAATTTAAAGTTTCTGAAATGACCGCTAGGGGCGTAAATCTAAATCTAAAAAAGTGATCTTTCTGTGAATTCCGCTATATTAACCTAACAAAAAAATGTCCGGTCTTTGAAGTTGACGCTAATCTGAACCATTATTGTTTGACAATTTTTCCTGTATCTCTAAAAATGAAGTGGTGGGGGGTATTCAAAGGTTTCCCTAAAGAACACCCTGTATCTTCGAAACGGCTGAGCCGATTTAAACAACCTCGGGTTAGTTCAAAAGAGCTATTCTTCCGCTACAAATATTATACTATTTGAAGTTTTGTTAGTTTCACATATCACCGCTTGAGGTCTTTCTTCGACTTCCGACAGAAATGGTTAATTTTCTCAAAAAAATTAAATGCATTGATTCGATTTTTTTCATGAAAAAGTAGCTAAATGATGCCTAAACAAGCTCGCGAAAACAGCATCTCGATATCTTGAGATATATATATTTTTTTATATGGTGATGGCCAGCATTTCGAAAATTTACGGCTGCATTAAAAGCTTCCTTTTTTCAATCGATCCACCTTAGGTCCACAAATTATATAATAAAAATATTTCTGTAAAAATTAGCTTAAAAAAATAAAATTTTGAGGGTATAAAATTTTCTTTGGCCTAAATTTTAGGTTAGGAACAAGATATCGAGATGCGGTTTTCGCGAGCTTGTTTAGGCATCATTTAGCTACTTTTTTATGAAAAAAAAAAAATAAAACCAACGAATTTAATTTTTTTGAGAAAATTAACCATTTCTGTCGGAATGTCAAAAAAAGCCCTCAAGCGGCGATATGTGAAACTAACAAAACTCTGAAGAATAACTCTTTTCAATTAACCTGATAGCTTTTTCGATTGGCAAAACTCGTGCTGCACGAGAAACTGAAGAAATGCATGTGAAAATTGCTCTCAATGGAACATAAATATTTGTTATCATTTGTCCATAACCTCATTTTAGATTTGTATTTATACAATGATTTAGGTAATCGACAAATCTGTATTCTAAAAAATGACTGAAACGATTTCACTATTATTTATGATAAACAATGAGGAATATAAATTTGAAATTCCTGTAAAAAACCAATTTTTGCCGTTCAGTTTAAATAGTAAATGCAACTTTTTGTAAAGTAGAAGTTATATGGCTAGTTTATCATCTTCGCTATCGCTAGATGACAACAAAAAACTCTCCAACGCAAGAAAATTCAAATTGTCGCACTTTTATTTTGAAAATTTGCTCCACGAGCCCTCCGACCTCGTGCGTCAAAATTTGCACTGAGTGCGTAATTGTTGCATCACATTTGCCAATGGAACACAGAAAATTGCCCTAAAATTACCAATAGAACGTAAAAATTGCACTCGTGCAGCACCAATTTTGCCAATCGAAAACGCTATGAGTTTGTTAAAATCGGCTCAGTCGTTTCGAAGATACAGGGTGTTCTTTATGGAAACCTTTGAATACCCCCCCACCCACGAACTTATAAATCCACCACTTCATTTTTATAGATACAGGAAAAATTGTCAAACAAAAAAGGTTCAGATTATCGTCGTCTTCAAAGAACGGACATTTTTTTGTTAGGTTGATATAGGGGAATTCACAGAAAAATAACTTTTTTAGATTCCAGATTGCAGTTATGCCCCCTAGCGGCTTAATTTTCCAGGTTTTTCTCGTGGCCGTTTTAGTAATAACTTTTTTTACCGCAAGCCTCTACGATGGACAGGTTCCCAGATACAGTACCTTGTATTCTTATTTGGCCACCCTGTACATACAGGGTGATTCCTATAGTACCTGCCACCGTTTGGGAGCGTGTAGGTGGTGCGTAGGGGAGTATTTTGATATAGGACACTTGGGGTCGGAAATCTAAAATAAGGGTGCCAGAGCCAAATTACCTTCTGGAATTTCGCGCCTGTAGGTAGGCAACCCAACCGGCCGGCGGTGCACACGGAGCGATCTCAGGCGGCGATGTGTGGCTGACACTTGATCAGAATTTTGTTTAAACCCACGAAATCCTGTCTGCAACGACGCGTATCAAGTGAATAAACACTATGGCAATAGTATAATAATAGTTGGCTAGATGTAGGAAGTGCATTGAGAACAACGGTGGCCACGTTGAACACTTGTAAACGTTATTGCTTTTGACTGTCGTTTTCCCTCCTCCCTCCCATGTCGCTTCCTCGCGCTAACTCGCTCTGCATCGCTCCGCGCGAAACGTCGGTCGGTTGGGTTGCCTACATACAGGCGTGAAATTCCAGAAGATAAATTTGGTTCTGGCGCCGTTATTTTAGATTTCCGACCCCAAGTGTCCTATATCAAAATACTCCCCTAGGCACCCCCTATACGCTCCCAAACGGTGGCAGGTACTATAGGAATCACCCTGTATGTGTCTGGAAGATCGCAGGCGCATTCCTTAACTCGAAAAGGCATCCGTCGGAACCGGTACACACCAGAGGGGGGTAATGAATGCTATTTTGGGAAAGAGAGGTAGTGTAGTTTTTAACGACTATTTTTCATCAACCTTAAGCACGAAAGCATCAGAGTATCAAAGGCGCTATCGAGTCAGCAAGTCTGTTGACATCCATTTCACAGAAGAGACTGATAAACGTCAAACAAAAAGATTTTCTGTCAAACAATCTGAAGTTGAGTTTTTAGAACACAACATGGAAACTATCACATACTCAGCTACTCAGTAAAAACTGTTAGTAAGTTTGAATTGTCTGTTTTAATATAAAAAAAACATCTTCATGTACTGAGCAACAGCAAGCAAATACTTACTTTTTTTGCTTTCCCCGGTTCAATCTGGATTCTAGTTTTTTTGGACATTTTTTCGTAAGTATCCTGTTCAGTGTCACTAAGTACTATATTCTCCTCCGGTCCTTTTTCCAATGCATTTGTGATCAATGTTTGAATGGCAAATTGCTGCACATTAACAGTATCTCTCAAACTACTAAACATCTTCAGCCCGTAATCTCTCATAACAAACGACTTGCTGGTACCCGTGATAGCGTCGTGATGTTGGAATAACCCTAGATTGCGTCGCGCCTGCACAATTTTTTCAAAATCTCTCTCCAAAACCTTGATGTATGGTAGTAAATTGTTCTTTTTCGCATTGTTCAACGCGACAGTGTATAGGATTTCGGCACCACGCAAATTAGTTTCCAATTCGCGATCCAAAAGTTTCATATACGGTCTGGTTGTAAAATATCCGGACCAATATGCAGGACGGCCTTCAGAAAATATATCCGAGTAAACGAAGAAATCTCCCTTTAAAGTTGGATACTGATCATAACGCTTTTGTATTTCAACAAAGTAATCTTTGGGAGTACCGAACACTATTTCAGCTTTGTAAATATCTTTGTGCGAGTTTATGTAATTCAAAATTTTCATGTAATTTACATATTGTTGATCCCATTCTTCGGGAAAATTATATCGAAAATCATCCCCTAACGGCATAAGTACAACATTATGAGGAAACAGGGATCCTGTTCGCGAATATTGTTCCAATAAAAGTTCGCTTTTCTCTTTTACGTTTCTATCAGTTATAGGTTGCGATTTAAGTGAGTACTCTGTAAATTCTCCTCCAACTTTACGAAAATCAAAATTTAAGCAGATGTATGGATGAGGCCCACAGCTGTGTTTAATTGAATAAATATCAAACGGTTGATTGTGTGTTAATATATTTGTGTTCGATGACCAATTGGGAACCCATTTAAAGTCGCCGAATTGTTTTAGAGCGAACCATTGCTTCCAAGCGTAGTGTATCCTTTGGATAACGGTTGCCTTAATGCCAGATTGAGACAAAAAGTAAGGCTGTGCGTTTCCATGGCCAAATGGATCAATTGACCAACCTGATTGTGGCTTTATGTCCAAGTTTCTCAAACACCACTGGTGACCTGCAAAAATAATAAAAGCATCGTCAAGGACAATAAAAGGTATAAAAAAGTACGAATAAGGTACACCAAGATCTACTTGTAATGAAACCACTTGAATCAATAACTTAAGAATACTTCTAGAGCAATATCAAGGTGCCATCAAGTCGATAATGGATTAGTGACCAGTGATAAGGCATGAAAGCGGATGTGACGCATTCTTTCGAGGAAATGCTGATGCGAGAATTCTCTAGAAGTTTTTTGCCCATGCCAAAGTAATAAATAGTGAAATTCGCGCTCCTGTTATAAATTTGAATATAAGTAAGTGTTAAATACTAATTGTTATAAATCACTCTATTTATGAATCGTTAAAAAATCACTATAAGTCACGCAATTAAATTTACGTTACATTAAGAATTGTTATTAAGTTAATTTGATTTGCAGTGTTTCTGATAATTACAATCTCGATCATGTTAATTGAATTGCGAGACAAAGTTGACCTCTCAGAATTATTTAGCCGTTTTTTTGTGTATAGCCTTATTTGAACATTATCGAGCCTTTTTGGAGAGACAGTCAGTCTTGTTTAATTGCGAAGTTTACGAAGAAGTCTGTTGTAGTGCAATAAAAGATTTATCTAATACGTCGGTATTTAAGTGAAGTCGATTTAAGCGGAAGCATGTTTTACGTTTACGAAGAAGTTTCACAGTACCTACCCCTTAAAGGGAGATTTGTCCACCATCAAAGAATCTACTATAATTGTAATTACAACGAAGCAGTGTAATTAATTCTTTGGAATTTTGGAGGCGGTTGAGCCTGCTGAATTTCTCAAATTAATAATCAAATTTACATAAAATTTACGTCATAATCGGCCGAGACTGGACGCGGTCTAGGACGTTTCCGCATATTTGTAAAAATAAAAAAATTGTTTCAAACCTAACTTTGACATTGATAGGGTTTTCTACTATACACGGTGTCCATTTTTCGAGTGCCACTATGGGGATCTCGCTTATCTTAAGAGATAGAAACTTGGTTAAATTAGGGCACAGTTGCGAATTTTCGTGCTGAATAATAATCTAAAAATAAATTTATAATATCTTCAATAGTTTTGAAAATATGGCAAAAAATCGAAAATTTCTGATTTTCATTTTTAACTTTTTTATGGTAAACTAATTGTACTAGACATTTCTAATTAACACATTATTTAGACACTTTTTAATGGAGATTTCGAATATGGCATCCAGTTTTTAATAACTTTCAAGATAACGGAGAAACACGTGGCAACTTTAGTTTTTTTTATGGGCGCCGTTTTGGATTTTGACATTTTGAGATTAGGTTCTTTTTCTCTTTACAACGATATATCACACATGGTGGTTCAGTATCACATTTTTTCTAAAAATACAATTTTCATTTTCTGCGAAAAGTGCTATGCAAAAACAAAACGTTGTTTTGTTGCGAACAAAATGTTGACCTATTTCAAGCAGTGTCATTTACGTTTGTGCTAGTTTTATTGCTAAAAATTATTTATTATAATTTTCTTTCAAAACGAAGGTTCAATTCTGTTCCTATGAAAATTTTCTCAACACATCTAGTTCCCTGATGCCAATGCAGTCCTAGCAGCAGTGCAATTCCCAATTTATTTTAGCGTTAAGCTAGTATGAAGGAGCCTATCCGCAAATTGTAGGTAAAATCCCGCTGACAAAACAATCATCATAAAAACTAAATTGAATTGTTCGATTTTTTTATCAATGACTATTTTTTAAAAATTGGTTTATTTTAAAGGTGCGACAGGTGTGATTATTATGGTCATTAACGAATAAACATTAAATGGGCAAATTAGATTTAAAACATCTTGACGTGTAACGCCATTGTGAGTCATTGTTTTTTTGTCAAATGAGAAGATTAAACAATTGTCATTTCATTTTAAAAAAATTAATTTTGAGTTTGCCCTGAAAAATATTATTAAATACGCACGTAGCCACTTATTTGGTTTTTTTTGCATTCGATTAAAAATAGACGCTCAACTGTAAATCAATTCATGTCCATGGGGGAATGTTTTATCTGAGAAGCTCTATTAATAGAGTGATATGCGATACATTCGTCTGGCAAGGGTTAATGTAATATTCCGCTGCTAGCTCTGTGCGTACTAACTTGGCTTTTCGTAACCTTCATCATTCATCATTCACTCGCAGAAAATGAAAATTGTATTTTTAGAAAAAATGTGATACTGAACCACCATGTGTGATATATCGTTGTAAAGAGAAAAAAAAACCTAATCTCAAAATGTCAAAATCCCATAAAAAAAACTAAAGTTGCCACGTGTTTCTCCGTTATCTTGAAAGTTATTAAAAACGGGATGCCATATTCGAAATCTCCATTAAAAAGTGTTATAATGTGTTAATTAGAAATGCCTATTACAATTAGTTTACCATAAAAAAGTTAAAAATGAAAATCAGAAATTTTCGATTTTTTGCCATATTTTCAAAACTATTGAAGATATTATAAATTTATTTTTAGATTATTATTCAGCACGAAAATTCGCAACTGTGCCCTAATTTAATGACCATAATAATCACACCTGTCGCACCTTTAAAATAAAACAATTTTTTAAAAATAGTCATTGATAAAAAAATCGAACAATTCAATTTAGTTTTTATGATGATTGTTTTGTCAGCGGGATTTTACCTACAATTTGCGGATAGGCTCACTTCATACTAGCTTAACGCTAAAATAAATTGGGAATTGCACTGCTGCTAGGACTGCAGTATGATTTATTTGTTCCACAACGGTATAATAGGTAAATATAGACTGAATAAATAATAGCGTACCTACCTAATTGAAAACTTAAACCACTTAGACTAAGCTCTGTATATAGCATTAAGTAGGTAAATACCGGTTGGTTAAATAAGAGAGGTTGGCGGCTAGCACCACAAACAGTGATAGCGATTTCAGGTACCATGCTGGAATATTATTCTTGGTTACATACGTAGACGTAGAAGGGTCACACAAACAAAAACAAATGTTATGCTTTGATTGTTGCAATTTCAGCCAACAAATTGTAGATTACGATTAACAATGCACAGATCAGATCTGAAAGGCTAGATGGACACAAGCATTTCTATTTTATTATTTACAAATTCACAAATTCGAAAGTTTACGTTGTGCACTTTGCCGTCTGCGCATCCTCATATTTCATTTATAATACGATATGTCTTTATACTGGGAGAATCGATGATTAAAATTTCAAAGAAATATCTCTATAAATAAGAAAGTTATCATTGTGCAATCTGCGCATGCGCACATCTGATTTTCACTATTTGCGATTGGTTTACCTCGATTAGGAGCATCTGGGAGTTAACATTCCGAAAAAATTTCCACATTTAAACGGCGAGGAAAAGTATAAATTATGCTTTTAATTTATCAACATAAAGGTTCCATTACAAGCACTGAGAGGAGGAGTATGAAGGTATGACTTACCTTCAATTAATTGATCGACCATTGCGTAAACGTGAGAATTCGCTTCGTCAGTCATAACCCAGCCGCCAGTCGTTATCTCCAATCTTCCCGATTTGACTAAAGACTTCAACGCCTTCTGCTTACTGGGATGAGCTCCTTCCCACCACATATTCAAAAACGATATTTCTGACCAGATGAAGGTCATGTTGGTATGTTCTTGCAGTTTGGTCACCATGTTATTCATAATCGCGCGAGATTGCGAATTGAAATAGCCTTCGAACGTTTTCAGCCATCCTGGATCGTTATGCGAATGAGGGATGATTATGACTTTTAGCGGCGGCCTTTCCGAATCCATTGATTGGCGGTCGAAACGGTCCTCGAAAAATTTGTCCCAGTATTCTTTTGTTTTCATCCATGTCGGCTGCAACAAAGTTTATCTTATAATGCGTGAATGAGATTCTTATTATTGAATTTGGATGGGCAATAATCATGCGTCATTTGTGTTGGTTATAGTCGCATTAGGAGGGTGATTATTTTTGGTTATGGCCTACACAAAATTCCTTCCTGAATGCAAGCTTAAGGACCACACTGAAAAACCCTCGGAAAAATCTGACGAAGTCCACAGACATTCATGGTCATTGGTCACACTCATAAGTTTGTAAATAACGAATCAATTCTGGGAATTTTATTGTCAGATCTCTTAACACAATATCAATATGGCGCCATAGACAGTGTAACAGTTTTATTGTTTACCTACACTATTATGGTAAGTCATTAGCGACATGCAACGACAAAGTGCTTTATGCAATAAGCAAAAAAAATTGACTCGACTCTCAAGTAACTGAATGGTTTAATTAAAATTTGTTACATAATCCAACTGCACATAATTGTCACTGTCGTAAAACGACGTCTAGAACGAAGATAGGTACTTGCGGAGGTATGCAGTAAAATGTTCATTACGTAGTTTACCTTTGGCGGCATAACTAAAGTAACGGCACTGCGAGTTATGATACTTACGTTGTAAAATTGTACCTAAGTTCATTTGCTAACACAACATTGTGCTTACATTGGGTTGCCATACTCAAAGTTTATATAATACAATACCCAAAGTCCATCAAAGTCTGTTAATGCAGTCTTCCATTATCAACAGAAACTTCAATTTACTTTTTAATTTGACAGCATTTGTATGTTTTGTACAATAAAATGTGACGCGTCAATAATTGCAAAGAGCATCCGGGGAGCAATACCCTTTCAATCGTCAATTTTATAAATACACGAGAAATAATCAATTAAGTTTCTTTTCAATAATTTCTGACGTTCCTTTACATAGTTTGAAGTTCGTGGACTAAGTGAAACTTTCTCCGTAAAGATACATCATAATTCATGTCACTTCCCAAATATAGATAGATAGTTCGCCATGACATTAATGTTTGCGATCAAATGTTTTTAATAATTAAAAAATGTGCTATTGGTTGCGTTTTGTCCGTCCGTCCATCCGGACCCACTTCTGCCGTTTCGAACTACTTCTAGGGGAATGGTCCTAGAGTCTTGGAATTTTTTGCAGTAGGTAGCCTATACCTTGAAGGTGTGGCGACGCCCCCCCCCCCCCCCACGAATTATTTCCTGAGATACTGTTTTTGAAAGTAAAACGCGCATAACTTTTACATACGACAATCAATTAGTCTCAGATTAGCTCCACGTCAAAGCTAATTAATGAAGTTGGTATTGGACAGTTGACCATAACACAATTTAGAGTTGGGTGTAAGTCTTTAACTAGGCAAATATATTTATAAAAATAAAACTCGGTGAAGTTGCCGATCGAGTGAAATTTAAAAATCCTGGTTAAAGAAATAAAAAGACGTGTCTAATTGTTTAAACTTATGTTTATCGATAGTAAATAATCCAAATTTGCGAAAAAAATACGAAAAGTAACAAAGCAATTCAAGTTTTTAAATTAGTGGCCACTTCCCTTCGAACACATTGTATATGGTTTGTTTACTTGCCGCGCAAATTGTGTGGGGTCTGGTTATCTCGTATCCTTTAGATTCGCGATTCAGATTAACAGTGAGACCTTTGGTGGCAACACATTGTATTTTGATTATCATCGTCTAACGCATAACATTTCCAAACTTAATTGTGAACAGTACATACCTAACAAAAAATTGGAGATATATACGTCATTCTTTGACACACTCCGATTTGAATAACTTCAGCTGCTATCAGTGTAATTACGCCACAATTCGTCACGTTCGCTTAGAGCGTCACCTATTAACGCACAACCTTCTCAATTTTATTTGTGACTAGTGTAATTACGCTACTCAAGATAAGCACAACTTAAATGGGCATATCTTAAAACATGCCCCATTCAAGGATGTTACGTGCAGACTGTGCGATAATTGCCACAAATAGCAAAATTTAAATCGATATTTATTAAAGTACGGCATATCGAAAAATACTTATTACCGTTCCTCGAGATCATTATTGCAAATTTTCCTGGCGATTGTCCTTTGTACCGACTTCTAAGTTGGTCATATGTGCGATAAAATTTGTCTATATGCCAAGGGTGTAAAATTTTTGGTAACATTCATATTCGGGAAGGTAAAGTATTTAATTTCAAGAAAGAAACCCAGGTTTCGGGAATGCGTGAATAAATTAAGGGACTAACCGGGAAAGGAAAAAGATGAATTTTACACATCGAACCACATCATACAAACCTGAGAATATTACCAAACTTTTATAGTCTCTAGAACTCGCCCTCTGCACGAAACTAAAACAATACACGGCGTCGCCATGAAAAATGAATGACAATGGCTAGAACTGGCTAAAACGAAAATTATTATAATCACGATCGAATGAATGCAAGTAGCATTGGGACACATCGCCCCCACATTTTTTTTCGATTTCGTCAACCGATATTGAATTAAGTTTGCCGATTTCATTGAATTAATAATGTCATCAATTTAAATTTGCCTACTCGATTGAAAGAAATTAAACCTTGAAAGTAATTTATTATCTTAATGAATTAACTCGGATGCGATGCGCGATGTGATTGAAAGTAATTGCAGTGGTTTTCGTGCCCGTCAATCAAAACCGCGAACCAAATCAATGAAACCACAATTATACTTGTATTAGCCACTTCTTTATGCGCGTAGAACATACTATTATATAGGCTACATCTATTTACTATAAAGATATGCAAGTTTATTCATCAAGCTCACCAATTACAGTAGAAACTGAAATGAAAGAAGTAATTACACTTACGTTGAGAAATAAATTAATTAAAAAAACAAACTAGGATTTTTATAATGAATGATTTCTATGGGCGATCGATTTCGGGTGTTATTTTACCCGTCATCAGGCCCGAAATCGATCGCCCATAGAAACCATTCATAATAAAAATCCTAGTTTGTTTTTTAATTAATTTATTTCTCAACGTAATCACATAACAAACTACTACGGAGAACTTCATACTACGAATAATTACACTTACTCGTTCAATTGTGTAAGACACCTAGTATCTTAAAATATTTGCTACTTGTTCTTGATGTTTTTCGTGAATTGAAACATATGACAATACGAGTTATAGGGAATTGCTGAATTTTCTAACGTAGGAGGTATACTTAAATCATTTATTAAAATAATTTACTCAGAAGGCGATTTTGGCTGCTTGTCTTATACTACAAGGGGAGATTGATAAGTAAGGTCTCCCAATATTGTAAGTCGAGAAACAATATATTACGAGATATATCAAGGTTGAGTGTTTACACAACCCAAAGAATGGAATAAACCCGGACGAAATGAATAACGTTTTAGTTTTAATAATAAGAATTTATGTACATTAGCGAATGTGACATTACTCGGGTAACTGTAACAAGTTAAAAAGTAATCGTAAACGATTTACATAAAGCGCATTTCCACTTGCATTCATTTCCCATTTGTAAGATGCAACTTCTATAAAATCGTAAAAATCCGGCCACAAATATGAAAGATAGCGTTGCACATGGGCAATCCATTTTTGTCGTACTACTTCAATGTCAGTTTATGAGAAGAATTTCATTTCAATGCTTTTCTAAATAAGAAAGTTGGAAACCTAAATTTTGAAACTAATGTTAGATTTTCCTTTGTTCCAAGCGCCTAAATATCAAATTTCACTTAAATGCTTCCATAGATAAAAAAGTTGGCACTGCCCATGCGCAAAATAAAATTTTGAAACTGGAGCTAGATTTTCCTTTATTCCAAGTGCCTATGTATCAAATTTCGTTTAAATTCTTCCATAAATAAAAAAGTTGGCACTGCGCATGCGCAAAACCAAATTTTGAAATTGGCGTTTGATTTTCCTGTATCCCAAGTGCCTATGTATCAAATTTCGTTTAAATTCTTCCATAAATAAAAAAGTTGGCACTGCGCATGCGCAAAACCAAATTTTGAAAATGGCGTTTGATTTTCCTTTATTCCAAGTGCCTATGTATCAAATTTCATTCAAATACTTTTATAAGTAAAAAATTTGCAATTCGGTTTATAAATGGTCGAGATGCGAAAAGGGCACTGTGAATTTTGAATCGATTCGATTCAACTTTTGGCGTTGCGTATTATATGGCTAAATCTATGCCCATATTGAATTTCATGCAATTCAGTTCATAACTAACGGAGATGTAAAAGTGATCGAACATTTCTAAACAAAGTTATCGTTCACACGAACAGGTAGATGGACAGACAGACAAAGGAACAGACGGACAGACCAACAGGCAGACGACAGATAGCAATGCAAAATTATAAACGATCTCTAGGATCGTTAATAAACGGCCAAGGGTAAAATTATGGAACATGTAAAAAACGGTTTTTTGTTTTTTTTTACAATAACTTTTTTTGTAAGCGGTACAGAAAAAATTCCTTCCTTGGTACAAGACTCGACACCATAACGAACCAAAAAGCGAAAAAAGTAGAACAATAGCTCTTAAGATAAAGAACTAGTAGCGTCGCAAAACGAGCGGACGGACGGACAAAGTGGCCACAATAGCGCATTTTTTTAATTTTTGTGGAAATGCGCTAAAAAGCTTCACCAAACAATCGTGCGCGCTAGATTAAATTGTCTCAGCAAAAATTAACAATTAGCATAAAAGTAATGTACTCGTATTTATGTTTCATGGAAAATTAATCACCGTTTAATGGAACACACTTCTCCATTTATCCATTGCGTTGACGAAGAGTTGTGGGTTTTGTTTTTTAATCCATAACTTACGGTCGCGGTCGCTTTGACTTTATTATCTGTTGAAACGTGTTGATGTTCTTTCAACTTGGGGAAAAGCGAGGGGAAAAGCCAAAAATCTCATGAGGCCAGGTCTGAGCTGTACTGCTACTGATGCTGGCGACAAATATAGCTGAGAGCTTCATCAAGCCTGAATCCACACCACCCCATCGTTTGTCAACGGAGTGAGGCCGAGCACGGTCGTGATGCAAAAAGAGTGTTGTTTGTTCAGGTCTCATTCTGCGAATTCGCTATTTAAGCAAAACGAATCTGAACTGACGGTTGCGCCTCTTAGAAGTAATTTTGTGTTAACAACACCGTGACCAGTCCAGAAAATTGTCAGCATCTGAAGTTTCCAACCAGCCTGATGGACGTTTAAACTAAATAAGATGGGCTGCCGCCGCGCCGGGTACATATTTGTTCATGCCTGTATCCCCACTACTTTTCCTGTAGGTACTAGCACTGGAGATCTTACGTATCAACCCGCCCTCGTAGGAGAATTCAACTAAAGTAAATGTCGAAATAGCAATTTATGAAACTTGGTAGGAAACGAACCTAAGGGTCCATACAAGATTTTCTCAAACATTTTTCTTAAAAATCCGACATATCGTCTAAAAGAAATGGACAGCGTAAGTGAATGATGTGATTTGGGGTTATAAACTGGTGGGAATAGGGAGGTTGAGGATGTCGATAACTAAAACAGAATCAAATAAGTACTCACCTGAAAATCGAAATCCTTAAATATGTCAACCGTATTAATATCCGCTTCGGATCCAACAACAACAGGACACACATCTTCAGCTTTAAGGCTTTGTTTTGATTTTACCGGTTGAATATCCGGCGGTAGTTCAACCAATTCCGCTCTTCTCCCAGCCCGACTTCCCTCTGCTACCTCGTTCTGTTCACTCCGCCTAACATCCGTTATATAACTGGCGTAATATACGCAAAGAAGTATCGTTACCACGAACGCGCAAATGGCAAATGTCTTCGGGGACAGTCTCACAAAAAATTTAGCGACCATTATTTACTATGTGAATTTAAAATCTTTGTATAATTCTCAACTAAAAGACATTCTTCCCTGAAAACAAAGTTAAATCGAGCCTAGCTACGAAAGTTTTTATTACATATAAAAGGTTTACGAGGTAAAACCCAATTAAGGCTCAAGAACATTAAACCGCGTCCCGCTCTTCGTAGACGATTGCGCGCACTGCTTTTCCCTTAATGTGCTTTTTCTCTTATACATAACTCTGCTGCTCGAGGGTGAGTTTTCCGGAGTACTCTGTAACAAAAATTTTAAATTAGTCGATGAGGTTTTTGATGGCGAATTTACGTTTGATATATGAGTATTTTTACAAACAGTAATTTCATACGTGTAACTCATTCTCGTATAAACATACCCTTTTTTTAAGATAATACATACAATTTCCCCTGTGGGTTTAATTAAATCACCCACCTGAAGGTATTATAGAATTTTGGCAAATTAAATTGTGCATACAAACAAATGACAAAAGTTGGACAATTCAATTTAAAGTTTCATATTTGTGATGCGATATTATTCATAATTGATGAAAACGGCTACAAAGGAATAAAATAATAAGTGTAACATATCTGATGGCTCCCCCACCTCCAAACGTTAACCGATTTGGCTAATTAAGGTTCCTTTATAGTCAATCAGCCAAATAAAAAAAAACGGCCAAGCGTTCATATGAAATGCAGCTTTTCTAATTGGAAGTGTATTAAATTGTCAAAAGTGGATATGCTTTGCAGTAAACTTGAAATCACGAATCTTTGTCCCTGCGTCATTGATTTGTGAATCAATTTCAGACATACGCTAAAACACTGTAATATCTGTCAAGTATGCGAAATCGATAAAAAACTTGTCTGAAATTGATTCACAAATCAATGACGCAGGGACAAAGATTCGTGATTTCAAGTATAATTAAAACAACGTCTGTAGTTGGATAATCGGCCGTGGTTTTTTTAAGTGCGTTAAATAAATTTGGTTAATGATAAACCCCATTCTATATTAATTGCTCCCCAAATTGCAAGTTTGAAATTAATTGCTCGATTAAAGATCAATCTGTTAAATCACACCAGTGTCACCGATACTCACAACGCTTTTGTGATTACGTAATCCCTTGTCTAATGTATGCCGTTTGGAAGAAGGAAGCGGCGACCTATGTTTTAGGAAGCCTTCCTGTGGATATATTAACAACTATCACCTTGAGATGAGTCCTTGATTTTGTAATATTACATATCTTGAATGCATCATTTTTCATTAGTGTATCTTTGACATTTTGATTGACTTCCTGTAATTTGTCAGAGCCAATATGTGATATGTAAAAAGTAAAAACGTGTTTAATTTTATCTAGTGATTTTTTTTCTTCGATGATCCGGTTTTGTGATTCAGCTTTGTTGTCCTTTCCGTCCGGTTACTCCAAAACTTTTCTCGAACGAGATGAATCACAAAATTAGGCTTAATCAAGTGGATTTCAAGTGGCTAATTTCTCAAAAAGGTATTTAACGCACTTCACTCTTATGGGTAGCTAGCACTCCCACACAGTTGCCATTTAATTAACAAGTTATAAATGGAAGAATGAATTTCAAACTTGCAATTTAGTAAGTAATTAATATAGTGGTTTAACATTAAAACTATAGCCAATTTATTTATTTAAGGCTACGCAAACCATTTAATACACATGTTATCACAGGAATAATTGGAAACTTGTAGTAAATAATATAGAAGTTATTAAATAAATCATTAAATATTAAATTAAAATTAAATAAATATAAATTCAAAATATATAATTATATTAATTATAATTAATTAAATAAATAAATAACAATGGCAGACGATTATCGCGATTTCAAGGTCGTGGCACACTATTTAGATTGACAAAAAAATCAAATTCAGCAAAAAAAAATAAACATTAGAAGTTTATGAATCTCTGTAAGTATATGATCACATTTTTATATTCTCAATAAATGTTTAGTAGAAATCTCGTAAGAACATCATAAATGACAACAACAAATTCAGTTATGTAAGATAACCTAAACCACCTGTCGTAGAGTTTACTTAAAATTCAATCTTATGTTAGACAGAAAACTATACCGGGAATTTTCCGCTAAACGAACTTTTTACATAGACACATTAGTTACGATTTGATGGGCGAGAATAATTTTTCATCAGCATTTTACGTTTTATATCTTCAACACTGCAGACTGAATTCATTTTGAACTAAAGTGAATTAGGTAGCGAAAATGTATTTTGGAATGACGACAGAATAACGCTCACCATAAATCTCGGTTTACCACCGCCGCCGCGCCTATGCTCGTGAATAAAATTCGTATTCGGGAAATATATGAAAATATTATAAATGAGTTAAATGTCAACCCATCACGACCAGAATGGATCGCATCGCATGACGCATCTTGAAAGAAATATTAAATTGAATAGGCAGAAACTTTTTTTTCTGTTGTCAATAGTGCCATTTTTAAGATGTTAGTACATATTTTGATTCCCACCATTGGTATATCAGATATTAAAAAAGATAGAAAGAAGGTGTGATTAGTGGAATTGAAAAAAATAAATCCGTTAACCGTGATGGTAATGAAAATCGTCGTTATTCTGCGTATATCAATTCAATAGAGCTTTGTTTTTTTAACAGCTTTAGGAAGTTAGTGGAGTCGCAAATAAAAAGGAGCAATCTTATATTGGTAGGGTTTAGCTACAGTGACAGCTGATAAAAAAAGTAAGCAGGTGTTGAGTGTAGTAACAGTAGAATTTATTATTATTACTTGTATTTGTTGACATATTCAAACATTACATTTAAACCCTAATTAAATTAAGTTTATCATTTATTGATGTAATTCCTGTAAATTATTTTAATCTAAGCATATGTATACTCGGAATTTTACAGTCGTGTAATGACGTCATTTTCGTGGGAAAAAACGTATGTCCTATTAAATTTATTTGTTGCTAAGTAACTGACTACTGGTGTCTAATTACCTGTATGACTTTTACTATACAGTGGTGTACATAATATTTTAGCATTTTTTGATAATAATTAAGTCAATTTCCACAAGAAATCTATAGGTCTTAATAAAAGAAGAAGTCCTAATTAACTGACTGACTGACTGAGATATCAACGCACAGCCTAAACGACTGAAGATATCGAAAATAAATTTTTAACATGTTAAAAAATGCGAATAGTTCATATTTTTTGCGAGCGAAACCGCGATGGATAAAATGTTAGTATTTCAAAAAAGGTCATTTACTCACTAATTATTTTAATAACTTGCTCAACTAACATATAAGTAATATTAACATATTTTTGTTTTTAAATAAATAAAGATTAACAAAACGAAAATCACAGAAAGGAATCACTACTCCCGAAAAGACCCAAAAAATAATTAGCAGAGGAGTACCTACATAAAAATTCAAAGAACCACTATCGAAACCACATCTACACAAGAAAAAATTGCACTACCTTGATGAATAGTTGGAAAATCAAAATCGTAAAACAAAAATATATACGTCTTTCGCTATAAAAACCGTTGCACGTCATTGATTTGTGTATCAATTTCAGACATATGCTGCAACACTGCAACATGTACAAAAAAAAACAAGTAGTGTGCGAAATCTATGCACCGCTTTTTATAGCGAAAGACGTTTACCAATGCCAATTTATTGCGATTGTAATGGTCACAGTATTAGAAGAAAATTAGTCGCCCTCGTCCGTATCGTCAGAGTCAAAATCAAAGTATTCGTCGTCAGCAAGGTCGTCATCTGCGTCTGTAGTGATAACAAGAGGTGGGATGTCAGAAGCATCACAAACTTGTACTGCTCCCCAAGCCTCTTGTATTACTTTGTCCGTATGGTTTACGTATTTCTCCCAATTATCCCTAGAAATCTCCCCGATAACCCTTTCCCATGTTGCCAAAACCTCTTGTGGTGATCCCTTAAAATTTGCAATGTACTGATCGTATTTTCGTTTACACTGAGACCACACCATTTCAATCGCATTAAATTGGCAGTGGTATGGCGGTAACCGTAAAATTTTATGTCCTAAAGGCTTAACATATTCATCAAGGTAGTACTTTTTCTCTTTGGGGCAGTTTGCGCTGACAATGCTCCATATTTGATCCTTCATTGCCTTTTCTGGATAGCCGATATTTTTTTCCCCTAACCATTCTATCATTCTTTGTTTTGTCCATGATTTGGTGGGAATTTTCTCTAAAAGGCCAGAATGGTAGCTTGAGTTGTCCATAATAATTAAAGATTTTTCAGGAAGATTTGGCACCAGTTGAGTCTTGAACCAATTTTCAAAATTACCCCTGTTCATATTATCATGATAGTCCCCTGTTTTTTTTCCACTTTTAAAAATCAAACTTGCCCCACCAATAAAGCCATCGTTCGTCCCAGCGTGGACAATAATGTATCGATGACGTAAAGAATATCTCTTTTAATAATATTGAAAAGGTATTATAATATCTTATTTTACCTTCATTGGGTTTAATTGATTCCGTGTGCTTAGTATCATCTTGCCAGCTGTTTCGAAATGATCCCTTACTAAATATCCAGGTTTCATCCATAAAAACCGGAGTATAACCCTCATGTCCCAAATTTTTGTTTTCAATGTACTCCCTTAAGAATTTTATTCGTTTGTGGACAATATCCGGTAAATCCATAAGATATTTTCTGTTATTGGACTTCTTCCATTTAAAACATACTTTTGATCCACTTTCTCAATGAATCAATGGAAAATTGAAAATATTCGTTTTGCTCCAGAAATTTTTGTCTAATAGTTGCCAGTGTAACATATTCCTTTTGGGTGTACATATAATAGATTGTATCCCGAATTTTATTCTTCAAATATTCTGTGATTTTCGTCTTGTTAATCTTTTGCTTGGTAGAGACATTAGATGCGTAATCTTTGTCGGATTTTACACCATTTTTTCTCAAATTTGAAATGGTTGTTGGGCTGACTTTCGTTGCTTGTGCAGTTCGCTGTATAACATTGTTGATGTCTAGTGGTATGCCATTCCGAACTTGTTCCTGTTCAATTTGAAAGAAAGCCAACACATTTAGAATTATTAACTGTGTTTGTTCGTTAAATCGATGAGGGTTTTTTGGCGGCATGTTTTGACGCTTTGGCGTTTTCAAAACTTCAAAACTGACAATCACTTGACAAGCATTTCAGGTAAAATTTAGCCACGACAACAACATTTCGGCAAATTTTTTTGTCATTGTCATTTTACATTAGTTAAACAAGGATA